GGATACCGTTCTGGATGGACAGCTCGTCTGGTGGCAAGCCCTCGGATGTCCATCTGAAAGACGCCTAGATGTGAGACTTGTGCTTTGTTTCAGATACTGTTCCTCCTTTTTCCTTCTTCTACTACAGTTCTTAAACCCATAATGCATTAAATGTTACAAAACAGTCTTTTTTTAATAATACTTGGCCTCTACTCTCCCCTCCCACATCACAAGCACCTGCGCGCCGCGCTGCACTCCGTTATATCATTTAATGAACAAATCTTTTAAGATGAACAAATCTTTATGAAGGAATCTTTTATGAACAAATCTTTAAATCATTTAAATGAACAAATCTTTTCTGAACAAACTCACTTGCTGATTTCTACATCATTTGTGAGCAAATCTTCCAGTCGGAACGGGTCGCTGAGAGGCACCTCCCTTTCGCGCAGGTCGTTGACCCAGTCTGTGTAGACAAGGTCGTTACGGAACTCCCAGCTGAAGGCTCCGACGTAGCTGAGGAAGGCTGAGCTGGTGAGGCAGTCACCCAACAGCTGGATGCGCTTCTGTTTTAGGTCCTCCAAGTCTTTGGTCCACCTGGGGGAAGCAACCGAAAAATGTAAATGTGAAAAGGGAATGAATGAAAGAATAAAAGAAACAAATAAATGTTGATGTAAGAAAGGACAGAATGAAAGAATAAAAGAAACAAAATAAATGTTGATGTTAGAAAGGAATGAATGAAAGAATAAACAAAACAAATAAATGTTGATGTAAGAAAGGAAAGAATGAAAGAATAAATGAAACAAATAAATGTTGATGTAAGAAAGGAAAGAATGAAAGAATAAAAGAAACAAACAAATATTGATGTGAAAAAGGGAAGAATGAAAGAAACAAACAAATATTGATGTGAAAAAGGGAAGAATGAAAGAATAAAAGAAACAAACAAATATTGATGTGAGAAGGGAAAGAATGAAAGAATAAAAGAAACAAGTAAATGTTGATGAGAGAAGGAAAAGGATGCAAGAATAAAAGAAAGAAAAAAATGTTGATGTGAGAAGGGGAAGAATGAAAGAATACAACAAACAAATATTAATCTGGGAAATGAAAGAAAGGAAGAAAGAAAGAATGGAAGAAAGAAAGGAAGAAAGAAAAAAAGGAAAGAAAGAAGGAAAGAAAGGAAGAACTGACCAATAGATTGCTTGAGATAACCCATGAGAGAACAAGAGTCTTGCATTAGAGAGATAAACATATGGATGGATAGAGAGAAAGACAGGGATAAGAGTGGATAGATATACATAGAGAGAGAATAAAAGACATTTCATGATCATTATTTTTGACTCAATGAGCTTAACTATAATGAGACTGTCAGTTTAAAAAAAAAAAAAAACATCAATAGAAATGATCAAGCCCATTCTAGCTAATTTATCAATTCTTTACGTTTCACCTCAAGATAAATGTGTCATGACATAGTAGTATTGAGTGCTCACCAATTTCAGGGCACATAGAGTTATTGGTACAGTATCATCTTAAAGCTTGTTTATTTGTATAACTTTTGATGAAAAAAAAATACCCATCTATCAAAATAGAAGTTGAGACATTTGTAATTGAAAGAGGTGGGGGTCCACCGGTGTCAGAGGTAAAATTAGAAAAAGAATACCCGCCAAAGTTTAAGGACTGCCAAAGCTTAAATGATCTTGGAAACTAATAATTTAAATTTTTGTGTGCCTTTGATCCACATTTTTCTGTAAAAATCCACTCAGAAATTAATGTGTTTTTCTTCTTCTTCTTCTATCGTGTGGTTGGGGCAACCGTTGGGGCACCACTGCATTGGAAAACCAGCTCTCGCCATCTATTTTTGTCCTCTGCTCTCCTCAGATTGTCACCCATCGTCTTTCCTGTCCACTCTGTAATGTTGTCCTCCCATCTCCTTCTCTGCCTTCCTCTCTTTCTCTTTCCTTGTACGGTTCCTTGCAGGATTGTTTTGGCAAGTCCTGTGGATCTTGTGACATGCCCATACCATTTTAGTTTTCGTCTCTTCGCTGTGGTCAGTAGATCTTCATATTGTCCCACAGCGTTGGTGATTCTCTTTCGTGTTTTTAAGGGGACACAAAAAATTTTCAGCTAAAAAAAATTTGATAGAAACTGCTCAATGGACTGGATTAAAGTTATTTCATTCAATTTCATTATTTTGATGAGCGCCTGATTTCACCACGAAGCCAGACAAATGCACTCACCTGATGTTCTCAGAGCCCAGACCATTGATGAGCTTGTCTGCAGCGATCAACCTCCTCTCCATGATCCTCGCCTCTTCCTCAAGGGCCTGCTTCTCTGCCATGGCCTCCTCATACTTTCTGTTGAGCTCCTGGAGTTCAGCTTCCAGGGCGTTCACTTCTTTGGTTACTTTGTCCAAATCACGTTTAGCCTACAGGAAGTTGAGAACACAGAGGAAGAAATCGTGTTAGGAAAATCATATATATCTGATCAACCGAGCTACACCTGCTACATTGTTTGGGCAAACAGGAGCCAAGCTATCAAAGTTCACAACCTTCTTGGGCTGGAATAAGATAACTCTTCTTTGACTGTTCGTGAATTTATATTGCATTGTATATTTTTAGTGAACACATTTTCAACCTCACTGCGAGACTGTTTTTCTGGTATAAAATTTTACACATATGCATTTATATTATATGTATAATACTTTGTTTTACGTACACATTTGTGTCGATTAATTTTTAAGATGTGATGTCTTTTTCATTGTAATGCGCATTGAGCATCTTTTAGGAAATGGAAATGCGCAGTATAAATGCTATTTATTATTATTATTATTATTATCAAGCTATTTCTAGCCCACGCTTACTTCTGGCCTAAGTAATACTGGAGTCCTCGACTCTATGGGCTCACCCTACACTGATTGTGTTTATAATCTTTCGCAGACTTTCAATTTAAAAAATTTATTTGCTGTTTACGTTTGAAGTTTTAGAAGATTACACAGCGATTATTCTTCAGAGACAATTGGATAGATAACAGTAAAAGTATGCGTGCCTGGGAGTATGGGAACCAGTGAGGAATATGTACTTATCTATGCCTGAGGTATGTGAACCAGTGAGGAATGTGTATTTATCTATGTCTGGGGTATAAGAACCAGTGAGGAATGTGTATTTATCTATGTCTGGGGTATGAGAACCTGTGAGGAATATGTACTCAACTATGCCTAGGGGTATGAGAACCTGTGAGGAAATTATATACATGACTGGGGTTGTAAGGGTTAACCAAAAGTAGTACCCACCTGGTGGAAGTTCCTCTCTAGTTTTGCCACCTTCTCTCTCTTGGGTTTGATCTCTCTGGCGACGGCGCAGTAGCCCATCACAGCCTCCACAAACTTGAGGAGGCCGGCACCAGCACGACTGATGACCTTCATCTGATCAGGGGACATGTCGATGTCCTTGAGGAGGCCTTGAAGAGGACACAGATTTGTATATGTATGTCACAAAAGTATTTCGTATTGAGTTTTAGTATTAATAAGAGTTTTACAGCACTTGCAATAAAATAAGGTCATATGAGTGCCAAAGATTAGAGGTGTTACAAGAAAGTAACAAACATAAAAAAGAAGGAGGAGAGATCAGGACGATAGATGTTTGATAGGAAAGAAGGAGCAAACCACACCACAGTACCCTCAACCACCCACATTTTGTACTGAACTATCAAACTGACTACAGCAGTCTAAGATCCCACCATTTATGGTCTCGGTTCGCCTATGATCCTGCTGTTTAGGAAAAACAGAATTTTAACTATTAAAAAGTCACCCCTAAGATACCGCACTGAAGGAGCTACATTCGGCTAAGATCCTGCTTTTCAGCTCATATTTTAGTTATTTTTCTCTTTTAATTTAAGAAAAAAAACAAATAAGATACCTGGGCGCGCTCAGCAGATCAACAAAGTAGCAATGCAAAAATTTTGTTTGACAAGAACGAAGGTGCAAGAAGAGATAAAAAGCAACAATTAGTGTTTTATTAAGAGTTTTACGGCACTTGCAACACAATAAGGTCATATAACTGCCGAAGATAATAGGCATTACAAAGATAGTAACAAATACAAAAAAGAAGGAGGAGAGATCAGGATGATAGATGTTTGGTAGGAAAGAAGGAGCAAACCACCCCAGAGCACCCGCCAACCACCCACTACAACAATTATTCTCTAAAAGTATTTTTCTCTTACTTTTCACAGTGTTTGTCTGTTTCTGTCCAATGTTGTCCACATCCATCTCCTTGAGTGCCTTGAGGAAGTTTGCTTCAGACATCATGCCTTTGGCCGACTTCCAAGAGACTTCCTTGATGCCTCTCATGACGACAATACACTCACAGACTGTCTGCACCTCACGGGGCGGCTTGGCAAAGGACCTGAGAGGCACAAAAAAGAAACGACATAAGAGTATATACAGTATAATGTGGATAGCTTGAATTCGTCGGGACCAGCCTCGGAATTTCGAGGGATCCATAATTCGAAAAATATCTTACAAAGATAAAGAAGAAGAAAAAAATGGGACCGCAGGCACAGTTCGACGGAAGCGTGATTTCGAGTCTTTTGTGGAGTTTTTTTTTCTATCATTTCTGTTTTATGCCCCCATTGACACAATTTCGATCATTTAGGAGGCAGGTTTTGACCCTACCTGTTAGGGACAACCAAACCAGAGAGGGATACAACATACAAGCAGGAATAATTAATAAAAAAAATTCTCCCCTTCTGGGAATCGAACTTAGGTTTTATACATGGGATGATGAGGCACCTAACCACTACACCACAGAAGCTGGTTTGCTTAGAATATGACTAAGAATAGTTTACTGAGAGTCGTTACCTGATCTCAGTGACATCTGACTTGTCCAAGTCATCCAGGGCAATTCTGGCAGCTTCCAGGGCAGGCAGAGCTTCAGCTAGGGCGTCCTCAGCCTCTTTCTGGGGACACAATATGCCAAAAGTGAGTCCAACTTTAAAAATCTCATCATCATCGTACAGATTTCACCCTTTCTATACCGGGCATCTATACATCCATGCCTTTCTTCTCCCAACATCATTGTTACATTGTTGAATCTTGGTACACAAAGAGATGATCCCCCCTTTTCAACACTGAGATTATTTAAAGAAAATATCTGAAAAGACAGAGACAAAAAGGTGAAGAGTTGTAAAAACTGCCCAGATCACCTCAAATTCAGAAAGCCTTGCTGGGGATTTGAATAAGAACCATCCTCTCCGTAGTCCAGCTTGAGATAAGTTAGGAATCTTTTCCTTTAGTTTTTTTGGTAGTTCAAACTGAGTCTGTCAATAGTGGTGTGAAATACAATCTTTCCATATAGCTAAGTGAAATTAAAAAAGAGGGATACTTTGTTCAGTAAAGGTTTAGTTAAGGTCTCCATTCAGTCCTTACTTGACCTGCTAAGCATATCAAGGGTGTCCATTCTCTGTGAAATGAGCATGGTGGTAGCTCTGATGTCAAGCATAAAAGACGATTTGTTGAACTTATTACGGGAGAACTCAGCTAGATCTATACCTTATGTTCTTGTTGGGGAAAATAGTCCATACACATAAGGCAAGTGTCTGTGACACTGAGATCAGATGGGTGGTCACTGGGGTGTTTCCTTGAGAAAGGCATGACAACCTTCACTAAAAAAAACAAGGTGCTGCACAGTGGCGACCAGCAATGGCATGGTTGTGAAATTGTTCTGTATTGGTGTAAATGTGTATTCATGTATGAATGTATATATACGTGTAGTATGTACATATGTAGGTATGTATTTATAATTATGTACTTATGTAAGTATGTATGTTTGCCATTGTAAAACAAATTGCCCTTCAGTGGTCAATGAAAATAAAAATTTATTTTATTTGTATCTATTTAACTGCTTCTAAGATCTAAAGCGGAAGGTTTTCCAAGCGTCAATTCTGATTAGAGTTTCCCCTCTTTTTTATCCTTGGGAAGAGTGGGGGGGGGGGGGGGGGGGGGGGTAAAAACAATATTTCCACATGTGGTTTGAGCAAACAAGACCTTCTTATCCTCTTCTACTGCAACAACCACACAGGAATTACTGGACACAACTCATTCACCTTCTCCACTTCAATAATCTTGCTCTGCTCCGCAATTTCCTCTCCCTTGGCCTCAGCAAACTTCTTCTTTTCTGATGCCTGTTTGGTGCCTGTGGAAATTTCCTCCAGCAGAGCCTCGCAGGCAGCAGACTTCTCTGTCACGGCAACCTTCTGCACGGCCAGCTTCTCATTGAGAACTGCCAACATAGCACTGGCGTCTGCGATCTTGGACAGACCTCCTTGCAGACGTTCACACTGAAGTAATAAAGCAAAGAGAGAGAAAAAAACATTTTTTTAATGTGAGTGTTTACCAGACCGAAGGGTTAGAACCCAAATGGCGTCTGGATCGGAAAAGTAAAGTAATGTGAGTGTTTTTACGCCCCTGTCGGCACAATTTAGATCATTTAGAAGGTGGACTTCCAACACTGCCTGTCAGGACCAACCCGGGCTGTGAGGGATACAACATTCCATCAAAGATACTAATTTACTCGATAAAAATTTCTCCCCACTCAGGAATCAAACTTGGGTCCCCTGCATGCAACAGTAAAGTGCCTAACTGCTACACCACACAAACTGGATAAAAGAGAGAAAATAAGAATAATCTACAACAATTCCCAGTACATTCAAGTTTTGTTTAGAGGGGTACAATTTTACAGTTATATTTCCCCCCAAATGTCGCATTGATCGCAAAATAAAAATTATCTGAATTGTGTGATGGGGGTGTAATACATTTACAAACACAATTTTAACCCTTACAGCCCTGTGCTGAAATCCTGATTGTTTCCCCTCAGGACTGACTTGAAATCAGAGATTTGAAGGGTTCAGGGGGTGTGTTGAAAAAAGGCTCACAGTGGCTTAAGTATAGAAGATAGATAATAATACATAGAGAGTTTTTTGTTCACAAATGAATAAAGAATGTGAAATAAAATAAAATATGTTGAAAAATTGTGTTTGCATTTTATTACTGTTGCATAATGTGATGTAATACGTAAAAATTTCACAAACCTCCCAGTCCCTTGGGCAATTTCTCCAATTATTGGAGCTTTTGCCTTTTGTAGCCTCCCAGCTCCTGTCTCCTTGCTTCTTGCTGATAATCCATTTTTGTATGAAATAAAATAAAACACTCAGGATAGCACAGGGGGGCGTTACAGTCCTGGCACCAGTGGCTGGTTTGTTGTCGTTTACAGCCTTTTCTTGATGCTGCTGGGAGATTGCACACAACACAGTCTCGAGCTCCGTGGCTCCGCTTAGAGCCTTCAGCAGCCGGAATGAAACGACTAAAATGACGCTCCGTCAGTCTCGGCAATGCTGGAACATCGGTGGTGGCACGACGTTTCCCACCTTGTGTCGTGGGCCTTCTCGCTGAAGGAGCCTCTGAGACCAGCGTCTCCACAATGCTTTTTCTAAACTCAGCATGAGTGAGTTTCTTCTGTGCTGGAGAAAACTTCAGGTAGAGTTGAAATGCATTCACGAGGCAGAGGTCCATGAGATAGAAGGCGAGCTTCCTCCACCACTTGAGGGACCTTCTCGAAATCTCGTAATACGAGGTGACCTGATCCATCAGGTCAACCCCACCCATCTTGGAGCAATAGTCCAGAATGCATGATGGCTTCATCGCAGTTTTGCGCCGAGGTTTATAAATCACCTGGCCTGTGGGGTCATGGATGGACGAGAGGACATGAACAGACCGCTTGTGTTGATATTTGATGGCGGTCAAGCGGTCATTCACACGCGCCACGGTTTGAAACTCAGACATGTTGGCATTGACCGGAAGCCTGAACACCGAAGGCAGGCCACGTCTGTTGGGGCGAACAGTTCCACACGCGTACGTGTTGAGCGCTGCGAGGTGTTGGAAGAGGGCTGGCGATAAGTAGTAATTGTCCATATATAGATGGTGTCCTTTGCGTAAACACCCAGCCTTCTCCATCAGCCCACACACAATCTTTTCGGTAGACCCAGCTGTGGCAGGCAAGCCTGTCGAAACTGCAGCTTCATCCAGGGGTGAAAGTTGGGCACAATAAACGTCAAAGTACAAACAGTAACCCGACGAGGACTCGCAGAGGGTATAAAGTTTTATCCCAAAGCGATTTGGTTTGGCGGGATTATATACTTTGAACCTCAAACGCCCCTTGAAAGGGCAGGTTGCTTCGTCCACCGCGAGGTCTCTCTGAGGAGAATAAGCTGACGAAAAGCTATCCAAACATCTCTTGATCAGGGGTCTTACTTTGAAAAGACGATCCCTGTTGTCTTGGTCCTGATCCAGTTCTTCTTCCACATCACTTATATGGAAATCCCACAATATGTGGAAAAAACGGTCCCGACTCATTGTCCTGGAAAACCAAGGAGTCCTTGTCGGCCCACTGTTCGTCCAGAAGTCTTTCAGATTTTGTTTAGGAACGAGTCCCATGTTCAGAACAACTGCAGAAGAGATCAGTAACACCACTGTCTTTTATGGGTCCCAAGGTTGAAATGGAATCTTATGGAATCAGCCCCAATTGTCTTACATAGATCTAACCCCCCCCCCCCCTGAAAAAAGACGAACATTTTGAGTTTGAGGGGGGGAAAAATGTTTAGTTTAGTCTAGATCCAGATCTAGATCTAGACCTAGATCTAGATCTAGACTCAGGCAGACAAAAGGCAAATTATGGGACCCATAAAAGACCCCCCAAAAATAGTGTAGATCTAGATTCTAGATCTAGCTCTAGATCTAGATATATACTAGATCTAGATCTAAATCTAGATCTACTTACCAGCTATGAACACTTTCATCTCATCTAGATCGACATCTTTCCAGGACGCGAGGTAGACATTTTCCCCAACATCTGAAGCTTGCTGCTTGAAGCAGGCATAAGAATTCGTTTGTTCAACACAAGTGTTCAAAAAATTGTCGTCGATGAAAATTTGGAAAAAGTCAATTGGTTTCATTTCAACATTGACACCAGAGTTCAGTTGCGACTGTCCTTCGAAATCTGGTAGTGGAGGTCTGTTGTTGACGGTCGGGCGAACCCATCCGTTTTCCAAATCATCGGGGTGGTCGGCATCGTGTTCTGGAGCAAAATCCAACAAACTGACACGGGCAGCATTCTGTCTTTCTCTTCCTATATCTCCATCCTCAAATCCTTCAAATTCATCATCAGAGCTGTCTTCAAAAAGGTCTATCAATTCCCGATCGTTGAAATCCATCGCGCACGGAACAATCACTCCAACTGCGCTCGCTGAACTGACAAAAGACGCTCGATCTCCCTCCACTTTGAATGCACGCGCAATTGTCGGATGGGGGTCAATTTTTTAAAGCTATGCACCAAATGAAAGGTCATCCAATCAGGATTCAGGAAAATATTTGCCCCGGGCGATTTACCGGCGATATCGGCAGTAATGGACGTGTTTTCGTTAGCAACCACTAGGTTGGAAATAGTCGCGATCAGACCTCGGGAACGCCATTTCCGGGTTGAAAATAGTCGCGTACAGGGCTGTAAGGGTTAAGATTTCATTTCCCCCCAAACGTCGCGTCGATAACACAACAAAAAGACCTGCTTCTCTTTTACAATTCCATTTCTCCCAAACGTCATGTTGACAACACAAAAAGAAGACCTGCCTCTCCCCCCAGACTAAAGATGTATTTATTTATCTCGCATGACAACACAACAGAAAAACCTGCTTCTCCCCCCGATTAAGGATGTATTTATTTATCTTGCATTGCCAACACAACAAGAAGACCTGCTCCCCCCCAACTGAGGATGTATTTATGTATTTATTTATCTCACATCGACAGCACAACAAGAAGACCTGCTTCTCTCACCTTACTGAGGATGTATTTATTTATCTGGCATCGACAGCACAACAAGAAGACCTGTTTCTCTCACCTGACTGAGGATGTATTTATTTATCTCGCATCGACACCACAACTAAAAGACCTGCCTCTCCCCCCCTCCCCCTGACTGAGGATGTATTTATTTATCTCACATAGAAAACACAACAAGAAGACCTGCTTCTCTCACCTGACTGAGGATGTATTTATCCTTGTCATCCAGCAGCCGCAGGTAGGTGTTGATGAAGTCCAGGTAGTTCTTGGGCGTGACGTAGTTGTTTCGCCGCAGCCGCTGCAGGAACTTGGCGCTGTACACGCCGATCGACTGGTGCACCATCACAATGTGGGCCACAATGTCCTCCCGCTTGTCGTCGGGGATCAGTGTGTTCTGCGAGATAACATGCAAAAGTGCTGAAAACCCGCAACAATAATGATGATTGTAAAAAGCCTTAATAAATAGAAATATTGATATGATCATAATCATAATAACAATTTAATTATATTAAATTTGAAAAGTCTACTAAGTCTCAAAACATTTTTTAAATTCCCTGCTACCTACAATAATCATAATAACGATGATGATTATAATGATAGGCACGATGATAATGATAATAATGAAACTGATACTGATAATGAAAATAATAATAATAATAATAATAATAATAATAATAAATAATAATAATAATAATAATAATAATAATAATAACTCTAATAATAAATAACATTACAATAGCAATTGAAATCTATATAGCGCCAAATCCCGAGAAGGGTCTAAGCGTTGTACAATGCAGAATTATCACTCAACTAGATAGACAAATCAAAAGACAAAAAATGCACATTTCGAGACTATTAAACAGCATACATATACAAGCACACACACACACCCATACACACACACACACACGTACACACACACACACATACACACGCACACACACATTCCCTCTTGAGGCACAGTCTTTGATAATAGTTAAACTCACGTCCGGAGAAACAAAGACACTGGCCACAGCATACAGAGCCTGCTCTGGCCAAGGGAAGAACCAGTCAATGCTGGCATTGTTCACAGTTCCTGGGGAAATCAATTTTCACAATAAAATGATTGTTTTTGGCTCTTACATGACAAAAATAATAGTTTTGTCATGATTCCTCAAAAAAAAAAAAAAATAATTGTTCAAAATTCCCAAAAAAAACACATAATTGAATATAATTCCAGAAAAAAACAAAATGATTTTTTGCAATTCCTGAAAAAAAAATTTAAAAAATACTGCAGTTGATTACAATTCCTGAAATTACAAAACAACTGTTCACAATTCTTGGGGAAAAAATTATAATCAGAGTCATAGTAACTTCAATAATAATAATAATAGATAGCATTTGTATAGCGCATATCCCCGCTCAACAGCAGGCTCTATGCACTTTACACTATATTATTACCCCAGCAGACCATAGAACACTCCGAAACATTCTCAGCTTCCCGGGAAGCATACAGTGCGAGCAGCCGATTAAGCGCTCAAACACTAACAAACAATGATAGAAGAAGGTATTCTTGTCACTGTACATCTTGAGACTTACCACTATAGTTGTCGAAATGTTAAGAACGTTGTCTACAACATGTTCAGGTAGCTTTAAATCTCAAGAAGATCAACCCAACCCCCGCCAACCCCTAAGGGACTCCACATGAGATCTTATGACACTTTTATCAAAAGCTCTTATTTGTAAAGCATCATATACAGTGAAAATCAATTGAAAAAATTTTATGAGCCCCGACATCTGTGTCCCTCTCATTCTGTCCCAGATTTTTTTAGTAAGACTTTTCCAGCACATGCAACACAATAAGGTCACATAATTGCCAAAGTTTAGAGGTGTTACAAGAGAGTGACAAACACACAAAAAAACAAGCAGTAGAGATAAGGACGATAGATGTCTGATAGGAAAGAAGGTGAAAACAACACCAGAGCACCCATCAACCACCCATGCTTTCTGTCATTTGTTCTTCTTTTCGCCTTCTATTTTTCCAGGGAAGACATGGTTTTTTCAGACATTTATGTCGAGTAAAGTGTCCTTGGTATTCTTCAATGTAGACAATAAATTGTTTAAAGTAAAGTGGATAACAATGAAAATTCGAGTGCTTGCATTCTATGATCATAATATTACCTGGGAAATTTCTGCAGCGGGTACGTAGCGTTTCACCAACAGGGGACATAGCAAGCACAATGTGAAGGTTGTTTGCACACTTGTTGATGAAGTACTGCCAGATGCTCTCCCTTGCATGGCCTCCCCCAGCCTTCATGGACTCATCTCTGAGCTATAGATTTACATTTTTTTTAAACATTCTTATTTTGTAGTTAACATCTGAAAAGAATTATATTCAAAGACAACTATACCTTACCATTTCGTGTCAAAATTGTAACTAAAATAAATTAGTAAAAATATTATCACACTTTATCATGTTAACACTAACAGTTACATTTTCATCTAATGAGAAGTTAAAAAGTAAAAATGAAATTATGTATACTTTCTTATGATTGTCTCAAACAGCATGCAGGCTCATCATTATCTTTAACTCTCATTGATAGCAGGCTACCTTAAACACTATTGAGCACAAATGAAACAAAAATCATTTTCCAAAATTAGTCGGTGAAAAAAAAAAAGAATACAACAGAGAAGATCATAGATTTTTCAGTTTGCCCTCACCTGTCCAATGATAGCCTCTTTCTCATCATCAGCGTAGAGGGCTGGCACCATACCAGAAGTCAACATGTTGTTAATGAGCTCCAAGAACCCTGAGAGGAACAAGATTTAAAAAGACAAGGTGCTTTTAATTAGCACTGAGGGACAAAAATTAAATATGTAATTACGTGTAATATCATGAAACTGCTATGATAATAAACGTAAGTTTTCAAACATCAGACATAGTATTGGTGTCCGATTCTGACGGTGTGCTCGCCAAATAAGATCAAACACTTCTTTTGTCCATAATAATGTTATTTACGAAAGAAATTACAATTGATTATTATAAGTAAAAAGAGCACTCTACACAAAAATTTGAGCAATTCTGGAAGATAGAAAGGCATTACATTGTCTTAAAAAAATATTTGACCTGATTTGGCCTATACACAGTTATACAAGAATGTACACAAAGTATTGGAACAGAGTCTTAAAGACAAAGCATAAATAGAATCCAGTTGTCACAGAATAACCCATCATTGCATCTAATTCAGAAATGGAACTCTTTTTGAGTCTCATTCATTTATGATAAACATTGCATTGCTAAAAAGCAATACAATTCTGAAGGTTCACTGTGATGTCAAGGGACATGACTCTTTTCTTTACTGTGGGGACAAGATAATTAAGGGAGTGGCACGCCCTTGGATGATGTCACAAGGAGCCGTGGGAACATAGGCGGAGAACGTCTCAGAGACTCACTGAGAGATTCAGTCGGACACAGAACCACGACCAAGCAATATCTATCCTATATGGGGGCCCTCTGACAGACCCAACTCATCAGACCGCCAGGTAACTTTACAGTTCACATATTTGCAGAGCCCTGGACTGACTATTCGCTACTTACCTTCTTCAACGACGTGCTGATCAGTGAACAAGAAAGAGACCTTCTGGTTCTCCATGCCCAGTTTGTTGTAGAGAATCTTCAGATCGTCCCTAAAGGAGTTCTCCCCGTAGCCACGACTCAGGGTGATCTCAAACACCTGGCAGCCGGCAGCGTATGAGGCCAGTCGGCACAAGCTCTGTTTGCCACTGCCTGGATGGTGCAGAAAATAGAGGACAATTTAGGAGGAAAAAAGGGGGGACAATCAGAGGTAAAAAGAAATGGAAAAGAAAAAAGAAAAGAAGTTTGATATTTCTAAAAATCAAAAAGAAAAGGGAAACAGTATTGCAGGAAAGAAAAAAATTTATAAAAGAGAAAGTACTCTTCACGAGAATGACAGTGGTTGGCGATAATGAAAGCAATGGATGAAAAGGACAAAAACTAAAACTGAAAACATTTGGAAGTGATTATTGTGGTCTATAAATCTTTGTCCTTAATATGGCTAATAGAACATGATCTTGGCCTTGAAATAAGAATGCCCACAAAATAAGCGATCTGTCCTCGCACCAGAGCCAAAGCCATCTTAATGTTTCCAAGCAACAATATTGTCCGTTCATGTGATTTATGAACACCAGCACATGCTGGTGAAAACATAACCTCTTGGTTTTAACACAAGAAGCATGGTATGGTATATGTTCAATGCCTCCTTTCAACACTGAAAGGTAATTTAACATAGTTCGATGCATGTTAAATGCCTCTTTTCAACACTGAAAGGTCATTGAAGAGGTGCTACCTCTATATTCAACATTAAGCTCCAACAACACATAGCCTAATAGGAGGCCCACATTGAAAAATGCCCAGAACAACCAAAATTTAAAGCATATCACATATTATATTTCTACTACGGTCATCCACACCAGAACTCAGTAACTTAGCTAGCGACACTTCAAAAGCTCTCACCTCCCACACCAACAAGAAGGGCGTGACCCCGGTCCATGCGCAACACGCGGTGAACGCGACACAGATGCTCCAGAGCATCATCAAACAGGACTAGGTTCATGGGCGTGTTGCTTTCATTGTAGTCCTCCAGAATCTGTGAATGAAGAAGACAAAATATGATATGATGTGTGTTTGTATACTAAAAAGCTCTGCTATTTTTCAGGTGGCAACACTATGTTCAGCGTTCGTATTGTTCAAACACCAGGTCAAAGCATGGGAAGCTTGATTCGGAATAAATACAAGGTCCGTACTTTGTGGCAAGCTGTCCTCTCAGTTAAGACGTCTTCTTTTCTGTCCTTGTTTGTGCACATGTTACAGAACACATTGGTTGGGACAAGCAATGACTCATTTAATGGATGGTGACAGTGCACATAAAGAAGTAAGCCAGACTACTCTTCATTTCCTCTGACATCTAATACTATGAAGGTATAGAACAGATTCAGTATAGACCACAGGTAAGAAACAACAGTTATGATTAGACAAACCTGTGATCTATATTCTGGTGACATTATACAAGAAATACTTTTTAAAACAAAAAAAATCAGTGACAAAATGTGAACTATTTTCAGCACCATGATTTTTTTTGCCATAGACATAGACAAGGACAGTTGAACAAGATGGCTCTCTCTCTTTGAAATGAAACAAAATGTTTTCAAAAACCCCAGTGACAACATTCGTAAAGAAAATTACTTTTGGACAGTGATGTCACTGTAATTAGAAACGTAGAAAATTTGTCACTCCTCTCTTTTGGTAAACAAAACATTACAACAACAACAAAAACACAGCCCCATCTGAGCCAGTGGTGAAATTAACATTACAGTATGTGATTAGCAGATAATATCAAGGTAAAGAAATACCAGAAGACAATTTTTTTTGGTCTTTAAATAATCAACATATTTTTTTTCACTGTTGCTGAAAAAATTTGAGTGAAATGTCTTACAGAAAAAGGAAAAAAATGTGAGAGAAATGCAAACACAGTCTTATATGTCTTAACATAACAGTCTTAATATGTTTTTTGTTTTTTTAAATAAACAAAATCACAAAAAAACCTCCCCTGAATTTAAAAACAAGTTATTTTAAAAAAATGTTCTTCCCAAACTAAGCATCTAACCTACCTCCTGGAAAACAGCTTTGCAGGCCTCATAATCTTGAATATCTTCATACAGCCTGGGCTCTCCTTCATCCAAAGCTGTGCGGAAGTCTCCGTAGAGGAGGGGGTTCCTTGAAGTGTACTCTGTGTGGGGCTTGAAGTTCTCCTCCAGCAGAGAACCAACTTTTTTCTGTTATAAAACATCAACAAATGTCATTTGGTAAGTGTTTTACGGCTCTCGCAACTGCGTAAGATCACATGAGCCTGCAGGACACATTAAACATGTTCAGTTTGGTACAAATTTTGAATTTAGCCCGAGTGGCAGCCAAAGCCAACTCTGCACACGGGACCTCCGAGATTTTTTCCCCTTCATTTGAGAAGGCTAGGTGTTAGATCTTACATACCATAAAATCAGGGGTGTGGCTGAAAGACAGTAGTAAAAAGAGCCAAGGGTAGCAGTAGAAAGGAGGGGCAAAGGGGATGGGGGGGGGGGGGAGGGAGTGAAGACAAAAGCAGAGGACAGAACATTGTTAGAGAACAAGAAAGAAGGTGAAAGGAGAACATGTTTAGAGAAAAAAGTTTTCCATTGCTGTCAAGTTTTGAACCAAGGACCTATGGAATGAGAAGCAAACACTATAACCTCTAGACCACAAGAGCACCCAAGAAATGTCAAATAATGTCAGTTCATAACAATACTTATCAAATCTTTTCTGTGGTAAACAGATAAGAGCATATCCTTTATACTTATGTGTAATATATAAATGACACATTTTCTCAAAATATATTAGAGTATTATGGGTCTTGATTTATTGAGTGTCAGGTCGTGTTGTATCTCTATACAGATGATACTTAACAAATATTGGTTTTGGAATTATTTCTCATTCATCAATGACAAAATGAACTCACTGAGACAAGCTCTTTGTCCTGATCATTGATTAAACGATCACTGATGACACGATAGCATTCATTTCTCCACAGCCTCAAGAACTGCTCGGGTTTGCTGAAGCGGTCCGGTGTGGAGAGGCACAAGCCATTGTAGATGCGGGACAAATCTCGGAGGTTGAAAATGTAATGGAACTTGGATGGCGTTGGAGGAAGCTCCTTCACAATGTGACTGAGGAAAAAAACAAACAAACAAAAAACACACCACTGATTAAAGAAAAGGGGGGAAAAATCTGCTGTCATATTGGATAACACAGACGCATTAAATCGAAATAACTTTTTTGCATCAGAGGACTTTAAATTGAATCATATAATGCTACTTTTACTGACATTATTTTGATTTAACAAATATGAGGCGACGTGGTGAAATCAGGCGCTCGTCAATATAATGAAATTGAAGAAAAACACATTTTTCCAACAGTTTGGCCATTTCTATCAAAATTTTGTTTTTTGGCTATATGCCTTGAATGTTCAAATGAAAACACATTTCCAAATAAACTTTACTGAAAAACCTTGTTTAAAGGCACAAAACATGTAATTTTCAGTTTTCAAGGAATCTTAAGCTAATGATGTCCCCAAACTTTGGCAGCCATTTTCTCATTAATTTAACCACTGAAACTAGGCTACCCCACCTTCTCCAATCGCAAATATCTCGACTTCTATTCAACCTAGATGGATTTTTTTCCCCCTTGTATTCAAGATCTTTTTTTTTCTTTCATTGAAAGCAAGACAAATGAAAAAGCTTTAAGATGATACCAATGACTCTACATGCCCAAAAATTGACAAGCGCCTGATTCCATCCTGTTGTGACCCAAATGCATGCACAAAAAACCCACCTGTAGAGTTCCATGGTCATGTTGGTGATGGTTGAGGACAACTCCTGGAGCTCTTTCACAAATGGCTGCAGATGACCCTCCAAGATGGAGTTGTAGATCTTGAACAGTGACTCGTTGTCTGGGAAAGTCATGTTGAACACAGAGAACAGCGACACAAAACGAGGATCTGTTTCGTTTCTGCCACCACCAGCTTTGCCCATGGCAGCCACATAGCCCATGTCACGCATGTTCTTCCAGTTGAGATCTTTGCCACGGTCGTACATTCCACCACGTTCCAGCAGCAGTTTCAGTAGAGCGATAGGCTGCTGAGTGCCATAAGTGTCCACCTAGCAGAAAAAAACCCAGTAAAACATTCAAATATAATAACAAATATATGCTTTTACGCAATCATCAACACAATTTAGATAATTAAGTAGGCGGGCCTGCCAGTCAGAGCTAACCTCAGTTGAAAGTAAAGCACCATTCTGAGATACTTGATAAAAATTTCTCCCCACAAGGGAGTGGGACTCAGGTCTCCAGCATGCTACGGTAAAGCACCAAACCATTACTCCACAGACAAGGGTCAGACAAATGAATACAACACAAATCATTAAAAGTATTGTCAGAATGCCACATTCAACAGCAAACAGCTATTTAGGAGGTCTTAATTCATCCCATGTGAATTCATGATGTATCATCAATATAGATTACTGTACCTATACTAATCAATGGTGCATCATTGATATGCTTATAGTCTTTTGTTTTCTGTCTTCCTTTGGTTATGCATACATATATTTTATGTCATCATTATTCTTTTTTCAGTTTTATTCACTTAACAATTCTAGTTCATTTTCCTTCATTTTGTTATACAGTACTAATAATTATGACTACATTTGATAAAACTAAAAGGTAAATAATAGCCTTCAAAATGAGTACACCGATAGATCTGTCAGCCTGACAAAAATTTGTCTTGCACAGACATGGAATTGATCCCAGCATCGAATGAGTTAACCCTATCCGTACTTCGTGTTTTACTATCGTATCCATACGACATGGGGAACTCTGTGCCCCCACTTTCCAAAGAGGAAGTTTACTTGTTAATCCTATCAGTACGCTTTGCATTAGCAGTCTGTCAAAAAGATTTTTTGAGAAATACTGACAGTTTCAAAGAGATCTTCATACTAGAAGTTTTCTAAAATGTGAAGAATACAACCCTGGGGGTACAAAATGACCCCAGGGGTTACGGATAGGGTTAAGAGACCACATTTCTGTTGCTACTAGTTAATTCCTAAGCACCACAATGTGGTGTCATTGTCCCACATTACAAAGCCCAGATTTATCAGCATTTGCCGACCTGTGGCATGTTCATGTCATCGATGAAGATGATGAGTCGTTTGCCAGGCGGAGGCCCGTACGTGTCCTTGGTGCGTTTCTCCACGTTGGACTCCACATTCCTCTGGACATCCATGGAGGTGGTACGGGAGGAGAAGTTCATGTTCAACAACAACTGAAGAAATAAGAAAATGCAACAAAAAAAAAAGCTTAGTTTATCAGATTGTGCAAATGTAATTATAAATAATTATTAATCAACTGCTGAGTGTAAGACACTTCGGCGTATGCTATTTTGAAAAGAGATGAAAGTCGGAGTCTTTCACTGAGAAGTCTAAATGCGTCATAACACGGTGGAATCAGGCACTTGTCAATTTTCGGGCATGTTGAGCTATTAGTATCGTCTTAAAGATTGTTTGTTTGTCTTGCTTTCAATGAAGAAAATACCTATCTAACATAAAAAGAAGTCAAAATATTTGCCATTGAAGGAGGTGGGTTGCCTCACTCCAGTGGAAAAATTAGCGAGAAAATGGCGCCAAAGTATGGTGACTTCCACAGTTTGAGAATCCTTGAAAACTGAAATGTACATTTTTTGTGCCTTTAAGCAACGTTTTTCCACAAAATTCACACATAAATATGTTTATTAAATGGATATTTAAGGTGTTGAGCGAAATAAAAAAATTCGATAAAAATTGTCACATCAGCGAAAAAGGTTGTTTATTTTGTTTTCATTATTTTGATTTCACCATGCTGCCTCACATATTGTCTTTCTCATTATATTGTGCATAATGGGTTGCTGATGTAACCTTTGAACTAGTTTGTACTACTATCATTGTACTTGAAATTGTACCCATGGGGATGAATAAAAGTCATCATCATCATCATGTGCCTCTTCCACCCTGGTATTGGATATAGGCCACAAAGAACAGCTCTTCGTCAGTCTCTGTTCTGGAAAATCTTCTCTATATCCAGCCAGCTGTGTCCCATATGCCTGAGATCTGCCTCTAGATCTCGCTCTAAGGTGGATCTCAGCCTTCCTCTCTTTCTCTTCCCCTGAGGGTTCAGTCTAAAGCTTTTCCTTATGTGCTACTTATTCATTCATTCATTCATTCATTCATTCATTCATTCATTCATTCATTCGTTCATTCATTCATTCATAAATTCATTCATTCAATCATTCATCCATTTTATGTTTAAAAACTAATATAATATTTTACAATTTTTTAATTTATTCATTAATTCATGCTGCTCTTGATATATAAACTCACATGTTGGTCTTGATCCAGAGTCCTCAAGAAATTGGAAGTTGTGGCAGTCTTCGAGGTACCAGTCTCACCAATCAGAACGACTGGTCTCTTGATGCCGACCATCAGCTGCAGCAGCCACGTGGCTCTCACCGTGTCCACCGTTGGCACGAGAATCTCATAGAACTTGAGCTCTGGGTTGTGGACGTACTTGGGCACCATCTTGGACCACGGCATCCACTGTTTCTGCTCAGCGTCGTAGAAGAACTCATACAGGGTCTGGTGTCCTGGTAGCTCACCTGATTAAAACGTGTCATTGAGAATCACTTCAATATATTACCCCTTTGAGCCCTAGCCACCGGTACAACGATGGAGCATAATCTGCCCATAGGCCTAGCCACCGGTACAGCGGTGAGCGAGACCCCATCCTCAACCTGGCCCGTCTGAGACAAAACACTTATAGAAAACAGAGATTACTACACAAGACGTCACTGATTATTCGGAAGATCTTTCTGAATTAGATGCTGGTAATGACAAGGACTACCCTGAGTGGGATATGGAATGTGATTCTGATGAACACATGAATGTTAGTCATATATTGCTCAGGGGCTCAGGCAGAGGGGCACAGTAGCCTCAGAAGGTCACGGCTCAAAGGGGTAAAGAAAGAATGAATGATACTTATTTTATTTATTAGAAAAGAGACAGAGCTCAGTCAACAAACATCCCGAATCATGAATTCCAATTATGAATGCAAAAAGTGTCTAGATACCCTAGCAGACAGAAGAATTAAGTTATCTAAGGCCTGTAATCTACAACAACCCTTCCTTTTCAGAACAAATTGGATTATCACTGAGTTTTGAAAAGTATTGAGATTTACAAAAAGAATAAAGTTAAAGATCTGGTTACATCACGGAACAAACAACGCACTTTTTCACTCAACCTGTCCAAGATTAATCATAAACCCAGCAGTCAGAAAATCAATGAATAAACAAATAAACAAAATTTCATGGCACTTTACCCTCCATTGTAATTGCCATCCTTCCCAACATACAAAGATAAGACGTTTTGAGCCTTACCAATCAATAGAAGGATTCCTTGTGAATCAAAGTACTCCGGATGTGTTAAATAATATTTTCCACCTCGACTCCATCAGAATCCGTAATTAGAGTAAATGGTCTTACTCACTCACAGTTTGGTTCTTGAAGTTTTTAAATAAAAGAATATGTATTTAAGACAAATAGTGTTTCAAATGTTCATCATGCTTGTGACTGCAAATGGAGAGGTGTAAATTGAATAAAAATTGTGTGGATGATTATTGTAGTGAGGGGACTAAACTGAGCATGAAGCTCCCAGTCTTGAAAATCCATTCATTAAAACATTCCAACCAAGAAAGATAGACAGCACACACTGTGACCAGAAAAAAGATGAAATCAAAACACACCTTTAGATAAAATTTTATGTGATTTATTCTAATATTGACTTATTCAAGACTTGTTTGACTTTCTGAACACATTTTGAAAAAGAAAGGAAAAGAATCCCCCCCCCCCTTAAAAAAAAAATATTGTAATGTTTGCAAACAGTTTTAAAAGTACTCCATAAAAACACACTCAACATGCACCTCATCAACAGAACAAACCCATAATCTTTCATGATTTGCTTAACTAGCATCATGAGCAGAAGCGGAGGAGGAAGTTATAGTATCTGCAGAGGTATATATTTTTGTTCATGCTATACATTTTTTGTGAAAATTTATAAGTGAACATACAAAAAACATTTAGTGATTGTTGATGAAGTAGAAACCAATAAGGGAAAAGAGAAAGGGAGAACAAAAACAAGCCCACTTTCAATGGCCGCCCGCTGCAGTCGCAGTGCACTTACTCAGAAATTCCTTCATTTTCTTTCGGAAATGCATGGCAGCCACTTGAAGCAAAAATATTAATGAGCTTTTAAGGCAGACAGAGAAGTACTAAATATAATATCGACTGCTTTGTGTACAACTCCGCCACACACCATTTTGAAAAAAAAGACACACGACGGAATCTTACACCAAGTAGCCTAGATAAGCTTGATATTTCTTTATCATTCTTTTAGAAAACAAAAGTGTTTCCCAACATATTAACAGACACAGTCTATTTGAAAGTTTGAAACAGAAATTGTATGGCACTGTTAAATAAATACTTAATTGAGAAGTTCACAAGATGTTACGTGTTTATAATCAAAATATCTAGAAAAATAATCACAAGTATAATCTTATTTCATTCAGCGGGTTCAGGAACTTATCTCATGATGTTCCTACAGAGCTAATCCATGTTGCTCCATCAAAATAAAGAGTGTAAGAGAAAATTGTTGTAAACTGCAAAGTTTTCTTTTCATGCAACTGATAATCGTAAACAAAATTCATAAATATTGTGATGATGACTTCCATACAGCTGTCTCTCTTCTTGAGACACTGAACATTAAATTGCATGAAGAATTTACAAAAGTCATTTGGATCGTGTAAAGAATGTGTTGAAGAAAAGTAATATATATAAGAAAGAAGAAAATCATTCCTGGCCTCTCCTTGTAGATTAACTGTGGTTTTGTACTTCACAGTAAGTCCTTGCATTGTTGGGACAGATTCGTTAAAATCTGTCTTTACAAAGACACATTTTAGTTTTAGAAAGAGCTTTAGTTATAGTTTTACAGCACTTGCCATTCAAATATATTATATAAGTGCCGAAGATAACAGGTGCTACTATAAAGTAACATACAAAGAAAAGAAGGTGGAGAGATACGGACACTAGATGTTTGATAGAAAAGAAACCACCTGCATCAGAGCACCCTCGAACCACCCATAAGACACATTTTACAACTCTCTACTACACTGGGGTTCCCTCAAGACAAAAAACTCTCAGGGTGGTTCAATAGGAGCGGACCATAGTTTTCTTGTGTCTCACCTCTAAGCCAAAGACAAGACAGAGAGTGAACTTTGCATGCAAGTCAAACAAAGTGGGCCAAGGAAGAATATACAAATCAACTGAACCATTAGATCTAATTCCCCAATTGCCTTCTTCTTTAAGAATAAGATCTGGAACAGATATTGGCAATCATGTTTTGCCACTCATTTCTCTGTTTTATATTTGCTATTATTCAATTTATTCCTTTTCTTTAGACACAAGTAAATCCATTACAAATAAATCCAGATCTATCGAAAGCATGCCATGACCCAATTTACTGAGACAAATAAAAATGATTAAAACATTAGATACAACCCAGAATTCCCTGTCATTCACAATTATCACTTTCCATTTCTTTTTTAACACAAGTAAAAGGAAATATCAGACATAAAGGTAATATCAGGCAGAAACCCACTATATCAAACATAAATAGACTGTGACATCAATTTACCGGGAGATGCGTATTTGGTTTCCTCCTGTACCAAGGTCAGTGAGGCCAGGTACTTGACGTAACCATCAAACTTGACTCTTCCATCCTCCAGAAGACATGCACCCACAGACCAGATGAGAGACTGGATGAAAAGCGCCTCCAACTCTGTGGGCTCTGGGAATTCTTTGACCAACAAAGCATTCAGCATCATGGTCAGTTGGTTCACCTGGAGGAAGAATAAAAAAGATAACATAGTCCAGTACTTTATATTTCTGGCACACATTCGGTACTACATGATTGTTACTGTGAATACCACAATAGACCATAAATCACTGATCTCGTCACTGTAGAGACATTGTGCAGACAAAATAAAGGAAGAGATTTCTGGGTATTTAAAAAAAAAAAGAAAGTCTCCATTCTTCTGAGCAAATTTGCAAGCCTGTAACATTAAGTCAGTTTAACAGAAACTTTCAGAGTGAGTATCAGCCTGAGCGAAACACACAACTAAAAAGGAAAGCGGCCTTGCACAGACACTGGCCATTATGCTCCTCTACAAACAACTGGAACAAAAATATTGGGTTGCATACATTAGACCCCATTCCCATGAATAATTACAATAATTCTAAATAATATTTCAACAATCAGTTTCAGTCTATGACCAATGCATTTGTAGAAACAGTTTCAGGGTATCTTTATATAAGGCTTCCAGAGTACAGCTCAGAATAGAATACTGTCTTTGGGATTCCAGAAGCAGGCATTCATAAGACATGATCAGCCCAGAAAAGCAGTCCTTTTGAGAATAGACAACAGACTCTCGGCATTTGCCCTTTTGAGAACTTTAGCACCAGGCATTTTGTCCTGCCATTTGATGCAAAGAATACTCCTGAGACAAATCAGATAAATAAAAGAGTAAAAAATAATAACAATGGTACTCTCCATCCACGCTTAATTCAAGGGAAATCAGATTCCCTACCAGCCTATTATGTAGTGCAATGGTAAGGTCCTTTAGCATTGCACATTCATGACTTGAGGTCAGCTACTGCATGAGGAACTTTATTTTATCAAGCATCTCTCTGCTAACAAGCAGTATCCTACTAAGTCTGGGTTGGCCCCGATATGCATGGTCATTTCAACCCTCCTTGCAAATAGACTAAGTTTAATGAGGGGTGTAAAACACTATATTCAAAGTCCTTAACACAATGTCACAACCTACTGAAAGCATTTTTTAAACAAAGCAGCCAGAAACACGCAGAGACATGAATTACCATTACTGGTCACTACCCTCATTATCTTTCTATGATAGAAAGGAGCAGCTCACCATGTTCAAGTTGGTCAAGGGCACGATAGTCTTCATCTTCTCCCCTTGGCGGCCATCTTGAATACCCTCTATGACCAGGTCTATGCAGTTGGGCACGTACTTCTCGTAGAGCAGGTTCAGGTCGTCTTGTTCCTGTTTGGTGGGTCGAGTCGCCACCCACTTCTGCCAGTAGGGCTTGTAGCCCAGGTTTTTCGGATCAACGTAGACCATACCACAACGAGAAATAGTGGCAGGAGAGGCATACTGAAGGTCAAATACCTGAAGAAAAGACATTTTGATGTGAGTCCAAGATATGTTTTGCCAAGCCTCAAAACAGGACATAACTTCAAAGGTAGCAAAATATTTCTCTCTGTACCAATGATTAATTTTTGAGTTCTGAGATCTTCCATGACGAAGAGCTTGTCATTAAAAGTCAAGAACATTTCAAAAGACTTACAAACAACTCTCAACTAACATTAATCTTTTAGACTCTTTCTGAATATTGTTTTTTGGGGGTCTAAACGTAATTAATTAGTTGCTCAATTTGGCTACAAGGAAGATGTACAAAATAACTTCATGTAAGCATAACCATCGCTCAAAAGGTAACATATGATATATCAAATTGAAGGAAATTGAATGAAAAATACATTCCAACATGAGACAAGGATTAATTTTAATGAGGAAATTAAATTTTGACGGAAAAAATCACACTCACCAGAAGTGGGAAAACAAATTAGCATAGCTATCTTACCATATACAGGCCAAGAGAATAATCCCCAAATTTCTAAATGCGCAGCTTTTCATTTGAAAGCAATATTCCACATTTTTTTTACGGTTATACATCGTTCTGTTGATTCAAGACCGCAGGAACTAATTCACTCTTTCACCAAACCAATGCTTTGACAAAGTGAAACTAGAGGTTTTCATTTTCTAAATCCTTTCCAAGTTTTCAATAATAATAATAAGTACTTATAAAGGACAGATCATGTTACAACAAAACAAAACTGAGGCACCCTATCATTGCCTATATATTGGAAATACGTCTGCAAGGGGAGTGGACTCTCGCCGATATATCGGGGATACTTTCGGAAAAAATTTTTTAAACACTTATTTTTAAAAAAGGATAAAAATTAATACATCCCCTTTCTCTCCCCCCGCAAAAAGCCCCAAATGCATATATCTTTAAAAAATATCTTTAAAAGTAATCACAAAAGCTTTTTTCATAAACAAATATTCAAATTTTGAGAACTGTAAAAATAAACATTAATTTTTAAAGAATGAAATAAACATCAAAACCAACATGACAATAACAGAATGATAAGAAAAGAAAAAAAGGAGATATTTTTGTTAAATAAAGTTATGTAACAAAATGGCAGAGCATATCTAAGCCAAACCATTAACAACATAGCTCAGGTGACAAAATGGCGGAGCGTATCTAAGCTAAATCTTAAACAAACATTATTAACATGGGTGACAAACTGGCGGAGTGTATCTAAGCCAAACCTCAAACAACATGGCACAGTGCTTCTGCAGCCGAATTCTCTCTCCATTGGCCAGTGTGAGCAGCCTGTTGTCGTCCATGACAGAGTTCATGTTCTCTACCCACAAGGCATCCACATCCCCGTCGTAGACAATGTACTTCCTTTCACTTTTGTCTGTGGGCCGGTTGATGTCACGGAAAATGTTGGACAGGAGGCCGTCAGTCCAGTCTCGGGTCACTGGGTCAAGGATACCGTACAGCTCGATGACCGACCGGTCTTTTGGGTTGATGACAAACAGCTTGGTGGTGATACCCAACCTGGGGATAAAGATGTTTAAAAGTCACTTTGCTTATTCAGTTTGTTCGAGTAAACAGAAGTATATCAGCTCAATAGATAAATGATAAAATTGACCTTTATTGATCCATATAGGAAAATTTGCTATACAATGACATAACATATATTATATCCATATACATAAATGCATGAATACATAGAAACATACATACTTAAACTCACAAATGTCCTAAAAACATGCCACTGCTAGTTGTCCCTGTGCAGCACCTTGTTATTTTTTTTTTAAGTTAGGGTTATTGTGTCTTGCTCATGGACACACAACCACAAACCTCAACAATTCACATGAATCTAGGTCACTAAAAATATCCCAGCAATGCAACGCAGTTGGCTGTGGACTTGAACCCAAGACAGTATTATCATCCCTTGCTCTACCAACAAACTGCCTTTTCAAATAAGCGTTTTAATGACTTTAAAGAAAGGGCCAGGTTCTCATTCCTTGAAATGACATAAGCAATTCCATCTTTTTAGACAACAAACATCCCTTGTTCCCTCAAATAAAAACATCAGTCAGAAGCAAAAGACCTAGGCTTCTGATCTGTAACAAAGAAAGATATAGAAGATCATTTTTATCATCATCTATCAAAATGCTTCAATCTTAACCATCTTGTATAAGTATACTTACGACCTTAGAGCATGCATCAAAATAACATTGAGTGTGTATCTAGCTTACGATTATTATTGTTTATATAGCTGCTCATTTATATTATGCATGTGATTGTAAGCCTACGTGTGTGTGCATGTGTGTGTGTGCATGTGTGTGTGTGTGTGTGTGTGTGTGTGTGTGTGTGTGTGTGTGTGTGTGTACACGTGGTGAAACACCAAACCAATGTGCCAGGATCTGGACAATAAAGATGTATCTTATCTTATCTCATCTTATCTTATCTTAGCTTATCTAATATCAGAACCAAAACAAGATGAGAAGCAATAATTAATTAAGAACTTCTAAAGCAGCGACCCACTTGGTCTGAGCCTGGGCGAGAGTGTTGATCACCACAGATTTGCCTCCTCCGGTGGGTCCCACGATCATGGTGGTGTGTCTTGTCAACATTGTTTCATACATCTGAACCACTTTGTCAACCTGTGCACAATAAACAAAACAAGTATGGCAACTTTACTTTAAATAATTACCAGCGAGGAATAATAATATACACACATTTTTCAGTTTGAAAGCAGGAAAAATATCTGATGCTATCAGACCTTATCTTTACGTATTCTTAACCTCCCTTGTTTTTACCTTAAAGGCAGGACAAATAATCTGATAGGACCCGACCTTATCTTTTCTTTTTCGTACTCTTTTTCTTCTCCCTGTTTTTCTAACCTTGAATTTCAGAAAAATATCTGATCTGATCTGATCTTTCAAAAATTTTCTTCTTTTCCTTCTCCATTGCTATACAATAACAGACTTTTGAGAACAGAGTCAGGCAAAAAAAGCTCTCTAGTCTGGAAGTTTTTGTCAGGGTTAAAGGAAATATTGTGTTTATTTTTCAGAGGCAAAAGACATTACAGAGGGTAAGGAAGCAGCATTCTAAATCCTGGATCCAAGCAAAAAACAAATGTGACACAACGCAGTGGAATCAGGCTCTCATCAATTTTTGGGCATGTTGAGTTATTGGTATCATCTTAAAACTTGTTCATTTGTCTTGCCTTCGATGAAAAAAATACCCATTTATCTTGAATAGAAATTGAGATATCTGCAATTGAAGGAGGTGGAGGTCACATTATTTCAGAGAGTAAATTAGCTAGAAAATGGCCGCCAAAGTTTGGTTGTTTCCATAGCTTAAGAACCCGTGGTAACTGAACACTTACATTTTATGTGTCTGTAATCGACGTTTTTCAGTAAAATCCACAACAACAAAAAATGTTGAGCCAAAAAAAAATTTGACAAAAATAGCCAAAGTGGCGGGAAAATGCCAGTGTCTTCAATTTCATAATTTTGACGAGCGCCAGATTTCACAGCAAAGCTTCATAATTTAATAAGCCTGTTCAGGCACGTACCTGGTGGGGCAAAAGCATGTAGCCATTGTCTTGCAGCACCTGCTCCACAGCATCGTTGAAGTTGGGATAGCGGACACGAGGACAGTCCAGGCCAGGGAACAGATCTCCAATGAGGCCCAGGAAAAGTGGCACGTCTTCAAACACAAACTTGGGTAGGTTCATGTCTCTCAGGGCTCTCATCAGCACCACATCCTGGAAACACAGACCAGTATGTGAGGTGAGATAAGATGAGATGAGATGAGATAACACAACACAACACAACACAACACAACATACAATAACCCTTCATTTTCCGGAAGCTGGCACAATGTGACAGTACGACAATATGGCAAGGTTATCACGTGACAATGTGACAGTGTGAAAAAATGACAGTATGACACTGTGACAACAAATATAATGACAAGGTTACAGTGTTACAATGTGACCATGTCATGGTGCGACGATGTGACCGCATTAGGGTGAGACTATGTGACAACAAATGTGACAGCATGAGCAGATGACCGTATACCGGTACGACGATGCGACAAATTGATGGAGGAACCAACCTACCTCTGCCAGGTCAGGTGAACCTCTCTTGAGCTCTCCAGCCATGACCAGCACAGACTTGAGGGCACGGAGACCGAAGTCGTAATGGTACTGCTTGGACAGCTGCTCCTTGGCCAGTTTGTACAGAACTGTCATCTTCTTGGCCAGAATCTGAGCAATGAATGACATGGGTGATAACACATGGCTAAGTGCTAATAAATTCAGAGCATTTAGAAGGAAATAATTAATAATGATCCAACTCTCGGCAGAGAGACCCAAAAGTCTATAGAAGCCTGGAGGACCTGCAGCTTAGAGGTAAATGAGAAGAAGAAGAAGAAGGAGGAGGAGGAAGAGGAGGAGGAGACGGAGGAGGAGGAGGAGGAGAAGAAGAAGAAGAATGTAGATATGGACGGAATAGCCTTAGCTTTGCTCTTTTTAATTATCAAAGAGTTTAATTTCCTTTTGCAATACTTGTTCCAGATATAAGCAAAAAAGCCCCATGTACAAGAATAGCTCCTGCATTTGCAAAACATGAAGTAAAAATCCATCAAATCAAATAAAAAATCGACCAGAATCTGCTCAAAGAAATGACAGGGGAGATGATACATGAGAAAGCTGTTACTTTAGCAGATTTTGAGTTATTACACTCAGTGGTCCAAATATAAAACAGAAGAAAATCAAGTTTGTTTAGGTCATGAGAATTGGGTGACGATATACAAGCAAGTTTTAAACAAGGCCGAATTTGAGTGGATAAATGTATAGGTTCAATAAAGAATGAAGAAAACTAAGTCTCGGGTAGCATATAGAAAATTGTTGAAGCTAAATAACAAATGGGTTGGCAACAAGTAGGGCCTACCATGGGCATACTCCTGCCATCAAGGAATAGTCTTGATGTTTGTGAAATACATACGAGATATGCATGAAATCAAAAAAATAATATTTTTTAAAGAATAAATACAGGAACAAATAGAGAAAAACAACTTTTGCACAATTTCACGCTCCTACCCACCCACCCCCTTTAAAAAAATCACTTTAATGGTTGGTAAGAGAGGAGTAAAGCTCCCACCATTCTGAACTGTTGACCTAGTAAGCTTAGCAACTTTCATGGTCACTGTGAGTTGTAGCTATGTCACACAAGAAAAGAAAACAGCTAGCAGTGATTGTTGGGGTGCGCAAAGACACGGAGGGGTTATACTTTATTTTTTCCATGACATCTTAGTAGTTCCCTTCCAAATGCTTAAACTCCACCTCAAGTGTTTATGGTTTAGTAAGCATTTTACTGCTCTCACAACACATATAGGTAATATAAGTGCCAAAGATTAAAGGTGTTACAAGAGAGTAACAAACACAGAAAAGAAGGAGAGATACGGATGAGAGATGTTTGATAGGAAAAAAGGAGCGAACCACACCAGAGCACCCACCAACAAAACTCTGGTGTATGATAATCAAACTTATCTGCATGTCAAGAGCCTACAACACCAAGCACTCAGGTAACAAAGGAAGAGGAAGGCCCTGCAAAAGGTGGATTGAAGGAGTCAAGGAAACCCTAAGAAAACATAATATCAGAACTGAAAGAGCTGCGGAGCTGGCCTACCATAGAAAACTGCATCTCCCCTTAACGGCAACAGAGGATGAAAAAGTAAAAGTAAAAGAAAGTAATGAAAGTTCTTTGAAAAAAACAAAACAAAATCACAAGCAAAACAAAACAAACCTTAGCCAGGAGGAAGCCTTCAGAGAACAACATAATCTCACAAATCTGCTGCAGATCCGGCACAATGACCACCACTGGACGGAACAGCGCCTTCACAGACTCAGGCAGCTCTGTACGTCCAGCATAACCTGGGTTCATGGTGATGAAAACACCAACTCTCGAATCCAGGTCAATCTCTTGCCCCTCAAACTGTGGAAGATTATCATAGAGACACATTCAGTAACTGACATCTTTCGGTTGCTTTGACCACTTATTTGGCCAAATGTATTATCTTCACTAAATTAACTTTTTCGGTACAAAAGGGATTCCTTAACCCTTTGAGCCCTTGCCACTGGTACACTGGTAGCACGTAATACTACCCGTATGCCTAGCCATCGGTACAGCAATGAACGAGACCCCTTCTCCAACCCGGCCCACCTGAGACAAAAGTACATACGAAAAACAGCATTTACTACTCAAGACATTATTGATTATTTTGAAGATCTTTCTGAATTAGATGCTGGTAATGACAAGGACTAGCCTGTGTGGGATGTGGAATGTGATTCTTATGATCACATGAATGTTAGTAATACATTGTTCAGGAGCTCAGGCATGGTAGCCTCAGGAGGTCAGGGCTCAAAGGGTTATAACAGCTATAATTCAGTTAAATATCGATGGATTTGTTTGTGTGAGCACTCAAACTATGCGTAATCGGACAGAAAATAACAATATCAATGAAAATTGGAAGTAAATGTAATACACAACCAGGGGTAGATCTTGGGTTTGATTCAATTAGTACACCCAAAAATGCCACCGGTGTGGCATTCCGTAATCAAAGAGTTAAAGCAGCATTTGTTGAGTAATAGTTAGGCACTTTGGCAAGGCACACAGAAGACATGAGTTCAGTCCCCATCGGAGGTGAACTTTTATTGAGTGTCTCTGTCGTTCCACTGGGATGTTGTATCCCTCTCAACCCAGATTGGCTTTGACAAATTGTCGTTTATGGGTTTTTAGCGACAAATTTAAAATAGAGAGGACAAAATAGTCTCTTCTAGGAGAATATGGAACACTTTGATAGCTAAGGAAATAGTTTGTGTCAAGTAGCGTGTACTCCTTAACGCGACACAAGAGGGTGCAAAAAAGTTTCTTATTTCTCTGTTTTTTTAACAGGCTTCATTATTATCATTATTATTATTATCATTATTATCATTATCATTATTATTACTATCATTATTATTATCCTTATGATTATCCATATAATAACAATAATAATAATAAATACCATTTGTATAGCGCATATCCCCTGCATATCCCCGCTCAACAGCAGGCTCTATGCGCTTTACACTATATTATTACCCCAGCAGACCATAGAACACTCCGAAACATTCTCAGCTTCCCAGGAAGCATACAGTGCAAGCAGCTGATTAAGCGCTCTAACACTCAAACTGACAAGATCTTTTGCTGTCTATAGCCGGGTACCCATTCCCACCTGGGTGAAGTGAGGAAAATTCGTGTAAAGTGCCTTTCCCCAGGACACAACGTCGGGCCCCTGGCGGGATTCGAAACCACGACCTTACGGCTGCTGTCATTACTCACGTGGAATCTCTTTAGCTTGAGCACCAGTCCGTTCTGTATGGTCTTGAGTTGTGTGGAGATGACAGAGAGCACAGAGACATCAATACGGTTGAACTCATCAAAACAGCCCCAGGCTCCACACTGACACAGACCCGAGAGAATCTTGCCTACCGCCTAGAGGAAAGAGTGATAAATTTGTCTCAGTAAGACTTCAATGGCATTTGCAACACAAATAGGTCATGTAAGTGCTGAAGATTAGAGGTGTTACTGGAGAGTAACATAAAAAGAAAAGGAGGAGAGATAAAGGTTGACAGGTATTGGGTAGAAAAGAAGGAGCAAACCACACCCGAGTGCCCACCAACCAGCCATGCAAAGAATAAACACTACTACTGAGAGATAGACAGATGGATGGATTTAACAAAAGATAGATAAAATAATGTAAGGATGGATGGATGGCTGGATGTATCAATGGCTGGAAGGATGGATGGATGGAAGGGTGGGTGGGTGTGCAAGTTGGGGGTGGGTGTGCGAGTGGGTGGACAGATGGATGGATGGACGTATGGATGGATGGATCGATGGATGGATGGAAGGGTGGGTGGGTGTGCAAGTGGGGGGGGGGGAGGTTTAGTGGTTGTGCGAGTGGATGGATGGACAGATGGATGGATGGATTAAAGATTGACTACGAAATAAAAGTAATAAAAATAGCGCCTTTATGTAGTTTCCTGTTATGAAAATATCAATTTTTCTTTTAAAAACAGGAAAAAGCAAACAAAACATAAGCTTCAATCAAAGTATTAACCTCTTTGTGACCTATATGATAAGCACCATTTGTCATTTTTCAGAAATTGTGACAAAAGAGGAGAGATGCTGCTATGATAATGGGACTTGTCACGCCTTGCAAAGTGCAAAGGACCATAATGACAAGTGCTGTTCATTATATTTTGTATATTTGCCATACTGTTCCTATTAAACATGATATGTAAAATTAATTGGGGAATCAGATTCAATGATAATTTTTCAAAATGAAGAAATCTTTCGCTTTAAGAGACAGTTTGTCAGATTCACAAACTAGATCTAGTTATAGGCAATCGACGCATAAATCACGCACCATCTTTCATCTCTGGGGATTAAACTTTGCGCTCAGTGAAGCACAAATTGATCCTGTGTACGTAATGAAGGGGTTAAAAACTTCAATGAACTTGGATATATTCCTAGACTGACACCATGCATTGTGAGTTCAATCAATAATGCGCTCATATGTACATTTGTACAAACACACACACACACACACACACACAAACACACACACACAAACACACACAGACACACACACACACACACACACACACACACACACACACACACAAACACACACAGACATACACACACACACAGACATACACACACACACACACACACACTTACACACACACAAGCACACACAAAAACCAACTAAACTACCAAAAAACCTCCACACCTAGTATTCTATCATCCTTCTTCTTTTCTTTGTATGTTGCTCTCTTGTAGCAACACCTCTAATCTTCTGCACTCACATGACCTATTTAGTTTCAGTCAAGTAAGAGTTTTACGGTGCTTGCAACTGCACAAGTTTACATTAGCACAGGAGACACAAGTCGGTTGCATTCACAACATTTCTTAGCATGGCTTCATTTTGGTCAATGATTAGATTATGTTGCAAGTGCCGTAAAACTCTTCCATAAACTAAGACATACCTTGTAGTCCATGCCTTCACCACAGTTGGTGACCACACAAAGCAGGCCCAAAGCTTTGGCCAAATCCTTGGTGGTTTCTGTCTTTCCTGTTCCGGCCGGGCCAGCTGGAGCTCCACCCAAGTTCATGGACAGGGCCTGAGTGGGTGGTTAGAAAAAACCCAATTAAATAACAAAATAACAAGGCAAAGACATCAAAACTTGATAGTATCTTTAAATCTAAGAGATTAAAAAGCATGTTAAAGAGTGCAATGATATTCTTTGCTAAGTGTAAAAATTACTGCAGGAATTTGAGCTTACGCCTCTTGAAAGCCAAATCAGGCTTTGTGAAAAAGGTTATCTGAGAAAGACCAGCTTTGAACCTAAATATACAGTCGAAACTGTCCGAGAAAATCACCCAATGTTGAGGGGGAAAAGGATTCTCTAGAATAGATGAATGTTTTGGACTGTGTTAATGTAATATATATGTGTGTGGCATTATATCATGGTGAAATCAGGCACTCATAAAAATAATGAAATCAAAGAAATCAACATTTTTTTGGCGCACATTGGGCAATTCTTATAAAATATTTTGTTGTGGGCTAAACACCTTTTATGTCCATTTAAAACATTTTCCTGTGAGGATTTTACAAACATTGATAACAAGCATTAAAAAAGTGAGGCTGCGTGGTGGAATCAGGCTCTTGTCAATTTTTGGGCATGTAGAGTTATTGGTGTCATCTTAAAGCTTGTTCACTTGTCTTTATTTCAATGAAAAAAATATCCATTTATCTTGAATACAAGTCAAGATATTTGCCAATGAAGGAGGTGGGTCATCTGTTTTCAGAGGTAAAATTAGTGAGTAAATGGCCACCAAAGATTAGTTATTTCCTTAGCTTAAGAGTCCGTGGTAACAGAAAATTTACATTTTTTGTGCCTTCAATCAACATTTTTAAGAAAAATCCACACAGAAATGAGTTCTTTCATGGGCCTGAGAGGTTTTGAGCCAAAAAACAAAAATTTGAAAAAAACTCACAAACCTGCGGAAAAATGCAAGTTTCTTCACTTTGATTATTTTGACAAGAGCCTGACTCCACCACGCTGCCTCACAAATGTAAAATTCCAATTTCTAATTACCTTCAACCTTAGGAAAGTCCCCAAACTTTGGCAGCCATTTTCTCGCCAATTTTTCTTCTGACACCAAGCGAGCCTCCATCTCCTTCAATCACAAATACCTCAATTTCTATTCTAGATATATGGGTACATTTTTCATCAAAAGCAAGACAAAAGAACAAGCTTTAAGATTACACCAACAACTCCTCATGCCCAGAAATTGACGAGCACCTGATCCCATCTTGTCACAACACAAATTCTGCTCAATTACAGTAGAAGTTTGATCTCAAGTGCAGTTACATAGCTCTGCCTTTGAATGACAGAATTGTGGTATGACAGTGATGAAACAATGAATTGAAAGCAAGCCACTAATCACCTGTGTGAGAGTGAGGTAGATTCTGTCAGTCAGCGGTGTGATAACCAGACGGCCGTTGAGTCCCATGTACTCGTAACCGTAGCCAAACTCTCCTGTGCACTGTCTGATCACCAGTTCATCTGGTTCCTTCTCCCAGTAGAAGCGAAGCTGTGACTCCCACTCAAACTCTCGAGCGTCCATGATACTGAAAGTGTGTGAAGTTAACAGAAATGTTTTACTAGTATTCTACACATATAAAATTTCCTAAAGACAGGAAAGAAATTTAGTACTCAAAAGAGACGAAGGAAGAACAAAAGAATAACTTTTTGGAAAATTCATGCTGCTTTTCTCCTTCCCTTTGAATCATTTACTCATTTTTTCTTTATATGGTAAACAATCAACACATCAATATAATTTTAATAATTTTGGAAGCTGGCTGCCTCAATCCAGCCAATCACAGCCATCCCAGACTGAGGAATACTACATTCCAACAAACAGATGTAGATACTCAATAAAAACCTCCCAATATGGAAATCCAACTCGGGTTCAAATTTTCTGAGTGCAACAGCAAAAAACCTAACCATTGTGCAACAGACGCCAGTGAACAAAATTATGATCCACTTTGTTAGTTTACATGTCATTTAATATCAAATACATTTCAAAAACAAAATTACAACAACAATGAAAAATTGCAAATGGATATAATCGATTCCACAATCCTATATACTTTTACAAAGATAAAACTGCATTCTTCTTTTTTTTTAAAGAGACAGAAAATGATAAAAATTAAGCCTAAGTAAACAAAACAACACACTAAATGATTTTCTTCTTTCAGAACTAATCAACAAGACGCAAAAGAAATGGCCAAACAAAGTGCTATACAGAAACAAATGGAAATCAAGAAAAAGTCAGTAAAAATGTTCAACAATAAAAGTAACAGAAATGCATACAGTGCGTTTACTCTGTCTGGTACATAGCATCACCTAATCAGATATATCTCCATAAACACTGGGCATCAACTGCTCAGTGTACAACTTCATCATACGTCACTTTTCAAAATGGCGTATGGCAGAGTCTATTACAAAATTGTTGATATGTTACAAGAGACTCAAAGACAAATGAAAGGAAAATGAGATCAATAATCTGGATGCAACACCAAGCATAGGAAGGAAAGCCTACCTGTCTCTCACAAATCCATCAATGATGTCACGAGCATGCACCTCAATAATCAAAACTGTGTTGAACTTTGACCTGTCATTCTTGGACAGAGGAGATCTCACCTGAGGGTGATACCCAGGAATGCATAGTTAAGGGGAGGGAGATTTAGTTAATTTTATTTAGAGTTTTATGGCACTAGTAACAAAAATACATCATATCAGTGCTGATGATTAGAGAGTAATATACAAAGAAAAGAAGGAGAAAAAATAAGGACAATAGATGTTTGATAGGAAAAAAGGAGCAAACCACACTAGAGCACCTGTCAACCACCCACATGAAAGGAGAATAGGGAGAGGAAAACAGGGGGGGGGCAGAGGGGAAGAGGAGAAACTGAAACAGACAGGAAGCCAACTACAATAAAATATTATGCTATACAAACAATCAAAAACAAAACTCTTTTATTGCAGAGGTCACAAAATGAGCTCCTCAGATCCCAAAGAAACCCTCAAGATCCCATCTTATTGGAACTTATCATTTTCCTTACCATTCTTTGTTATATTCAATTACAAAGTAATCATTAAAACTTTCTTAATATCAAATAAAATGTCCAGTAATCAATATTTGCTGGCTATGTCACTCTCACCTTGACAACCGGGTCATCATTTTCCTCACCATTCTTTGTATTGATTAATTAAAAAACAAAAATTAGAACTTTCTAAATATCAAACAAAACATCCAGGGATCAATCTTTGCTGGCCATGTAACTCTCACCTTGACGACAAGATCATCGATCTGTTTGTGAAGCTTCTTGGCGTAGTCCTTCATAGCCGTCTTCTGACCTTTCTTGACCTTCCTGAAGACATCCTCCACCTCCCAAGTCCACCACACCTGATTGCCCGCCAGGCACACCATGCCTTGGTAGTCCAACATCCAGTCCACTCTACACAAAGTTCAGAAATTCTTTGTCAGCACTGAGCAAGATATGTTGCCAGGAACATGATAAGATTTCAATATTTGATTTTTTTTTTACCGATCTCATTTGGGAATTGTCTCAATAAATTTAATGTTACGGAAAATATCACATTATTAACAGTTCAACAATAGTAATTTTTCAGCAGATTTGTTCTAAAACTCCAACAAAACATAGCAACTGAGCAGAATATCATGTTTACCACAAAACAAACAGACTTGTCACATTTTTTTGTTCAAAATTGCATTAGACTTTTCCCCCTAAAGCTCTCATTTGTTGGGCAAATTTAACAATAATAATAATAATAATAATTTTTATAGCGCCCACTCCCTTACAATACAGCACTAGGCGTTTAACAATACCTCCATCTTAACACAAAATACAAGTGAATGAACGTGCATATACATAAGCCCTTTAGAATAAGGCTAGCATAAAAGCAAAAATTCCTACTATCATAGCAAAATAGTTGATGTTAAGCACATCATATTATGAACACAAGAGTACTATGAATATGAAGAACTAAGAACAGGAAGTCAGAAGTTTTACTGGAAAGCAGAGTCACCATAATGACTTTATCACTCAAAACAGAAACAAACCTTGGCTTCTGATGAGAGTAGAAGAAGATGGCCTCTTTGGTGATCAGCCGATTTGTGATCCTCATCTCATTGAGCACAGAGGTCATCCAGTCCTCCACCCGACCATCGGCTATGACGTTGGTGCGGAAGTCCATCTCTTCTTTCTCAGCAGAACTCATGCCTGTAGCGAGGGTCTCATTGTTTGGACCTTTCTGGAACTTCAGAGCTGCAATGTTGTCAAACATCTGAGGAGATATTGATGTTTTTTTTTAATTTTCAAACAAAAGCTCAAAGTAACAAAACAAACACATCAAAAATTGACTGCACCTTTAAACCTGAGAGATTAAAAAAGCATGTTCAAGAGGGCAATGATATTTTTTGTTAAGTGCAAAAAGTTCTCACTTCAAATAACCATTTCCATATTAAGCTAGGAGGCCTTTAATTCTATTCTTACTTCTTATTTTGGTTTCTAATATCTTCTGCAAGCTTTTTGATGTGTAGATACAAATAATTATGAACATTCATGATTTTATCTACATGCTAACCTCTTGCCATTAAGATAGTTCTTTTTTCCTGACATCATAAATTTGTGGAACAATCTTTTATCACAGTGAGTGTGATGTATGAATTTTATTCTTATGAAACTGACTGCGGTAAAATACGGTGAGAATATTCACACTATGAACAGAACAGAAAGAAAAGGACAGTCAAGCTATAAAGAGGGAAGGTAAGAAAATCCATTAGCAAAGAACTGTGCTCAGTAGTAATAATAACAATAGTTTGTCCATCAATGTCTAACAATGACCAATGCATCCGCAGAGAGTATTTCTTAAATAAAATTGAAGAATTAAATGTTAAGATGACTTGTGGCTTCTGCTATCGCCAATGAGACCAGTTCAAGCTGAGAAAAGTTTGACGCATTTTGAGCCTCACTTCAACTCAACTGGAGGATACACAGCTAGCCAGGATCGACAGCTTTCCCATGACTCCAACCAAAGGAAAAAGAAAACAGAAAAAAACTGTCTATGCCTTCATAATTCTTAATAAATGTCTTGCATGGTGTTCAACTACCAAGTTGTTGACCCTCAAATAGATCTGAAGGCTTTGACCATCTGGCTCTCCCTGGCAAAGTTGAAGCTATATGAGGCAGTGGTAGATCAAGAGCAACCTATTCTGGAAACCTAAAAAGATGGATGATGGGGAGAGATCAGGATAATGTGATTTTTTTTTTTTTTAGAGCATCCAAGCAAAGGAATGAATGAAGAATCATCATCACTGATGTCTGTTGCAGATCTGGCCCTTGATGATGATGTTGTTCTACCCACCTTGATCATATGCTCCTGAACACACTCAGGATCTGATGAACCGAGAATACTGAGAAGCTCATCGTCTGAGATGAAGAAAAATCTGGGGAAGGCATTTCGTTTGGAGTCTAGGTAGTCATTGAGAGACTTTTGACATTTCTCCAGGCCGAGGCTCAAAGCCTGCAGATCCTGTAATCTGTTGGAGGCATGGCAAGCCAGCTTGATCTGAGGAGTCTTGTGTGTGTCATTCATGATCTGGGGGGGAAAAAAAAGATGGAACAAGAATAACAGAACAATCCTCACTAAACAGGCTGATATTAGTAAACAAGGAACAGGAGTTTTCAAACTATTAGAAAAACTTACGACAGTTACAAAGAAAGTCATTAACGCTAAATGGGTTGAATAGTTCTGGACAAAGCATGATGACAAAGAAAAACAAAAAAGCATCATGTTAGTTTAGTTTTAGTAAGAGATTTACGGCACTTGCAACACAATAAGGTCATATAAGTGCTGAAGAATAGATGTGTAACAAGAGAGTAACATACACAAAAAAGAAGGAGGGCAGATAATGACGACAGATGTTTGATAGGAAAGAAGGAGCAAACCACACCAGAGCACCCGCCAACCACCCACAAGCATCATGTCAGAAGAAATGAAAGACAGAACAAAAAATACCATGGTTTTCCTTCTAGTATTTGGCTAACATAAGAAAAAACATTCAGACCAGACAAAAATATGGTATTCAATTAATGAATGTGGATGCAATAAATCAATAAATCATCAAGACCCTCTAGCAGCATTTTTCAACCACTAGCAGACAAAACAGAACCTGAAAATTGAAAGACCAAATTATTTTGAGCTTACAACAGTTTACAGCGAGTATGGTGTACTTTTCATGATGATGATGATGATGATGATGATGATGATGATGATGATGATGATGCACAAAGACTACTTGTAATTAGTACAGAGAAGTTTTCATTGCAAGCCATCTTGAAAGTCAGTCGTGTTGAACTACAAGTAAAATTTCATTTTTTCATCCTTAAGCATGAAACATATGCAGGTTTGCCAACTTTTTCAAAACCCAGACAGAAAAACCCAACATAAGCGGACAATCACTCCACTGAAATAAACAGAAATGATCAAGAAATAAAGGAATAAAAAGTCCACTCAAATTCACGATTAGCAAATGCAGGATAGTCCCTGGAGATTCAGAACACTAATATTACCAATGACACAAGGCCAACCTCACCCTCTTCATTCCAAAATATCTCGACTTATATTCAAGACAAATGGGTATTTTTTTTCCTCACAAGCAAAGCAAATGAATAAGTTTAAGATTATACCAATAAATCTGTATATATGCCTAAAATTCGTCAAGTGCCTGATTCCACTGTATTGTGACATAACTTGTAACAAAGCAAATAAATTAACTGGCTTTACCTTTTTGAAAGTTTTGTCAATTTGATCAAACTTCTTGGCTTCCTCAGGCAGTTGTGATCTGATGTCTCCTCCAATGAAGATACCTTCCAGGTACATCCATTTCCTTTGTACAACCATCCACACCTTCAAATAGAAACAATTTTCAAAATCTACAATGACCTTTGAATTGATTAAAGTTAATAAAATTGTGCACCAGCCTGTGGAAGTTCACTCCTGTAAGTCAAGACTGTATTGCGTTATAGCATTAGACATGATCAAGAAAACATGACTTCACAACCTTATTAGGGTGGCAATGGCAAAGAGAAAAATATAGATATTACTGAAAATTCTCCAGAACAATTAATTTAATAAACAAAAACAAAGTAACATTGAAACAATTTATTTACAGACAATATTACTTACATCAAGAACTTCAGAAATGTGTGAGAGTGATTTCTCCCAGTTCTGCACATTGTTCAAGAAAGGGCCAATGAATCTTGAGGCAGACATGCTCTGAAAACAGAATAAGTATTTTGCACTTGCATAAATATCTGACCATTCAAAAATAAATACAGCAGGATTGATATTCATAAAAGTAAAAAGTCATTTAGAAATAAGAAAATTGTTCCCTCTACCTATACGTAAAGTATCCATTCCCTTCCCACCCCACTGTCATTCATTTTTCTACTTTGAATTATTTGTCTTATTTTATGTGTTTATGCTTAGACCCTATACTATTCTTTAAAAAATTGAACAGGATCTTTATAAGCACGAAGAAGACCTTTGTAAGAACTTATTCCTGTTTCATTTAAAGAGCAAAAAAATACATTAAATAGAACGAAAATCTCTTTCATCTTCAGCAATGCTATCTCAACATTTACAAATGTAAAAGTCATCAATTTTCTTTGTACTAATCTGATAAAGACAAGATACCTTGAACTCAACGTGTCCTATTTTATATTCTTAATTTCATTAAACTTTATATATATATATCAACACACCAATATTTTGACACAACAGTACAAAGATAGGTTCATAAACAACTTTCTTAAGCTTTCCTTTGTAGAAGTAGGACAGGATGGGGGTTTTTTCAGCCAACTTATGCTCTAAATATCTTGTGCCAGAGCATTGGTACACTGGTTTTTAGCAGTTCTGACTTTCTGTAATAAAACAGAGTTAAAGTCAAATAGTTTGAATACCTAGCAACAGCATAGCCATAAAGGATACCACTTATTCACATCCTCATAGTTAAAAGTTAAGGTTGCCCAACACCAGCAATTTCATTAACATGGCACCCAAAAAGGGATACTGAACCCCCCCCCCCCCCCCCCCCAAAAAAAAAAAAAATCAACAAAAAACTAAAAGGAACACCGTACCTGCAAGTTCATGGAGGAGTCATCCAAGCTCTGGAGAATCTCATCCACAGCTCCGAGGATGTACCCACGATTTGATGTCCCCTTCATGTATGCATGGACACTGAACTTCATGTTGTTCCACGTCTCCTCAACCTCTTTCACACCCTATAGAACATTGATAGAGAAGAAAAGATAATTATGGGTAAACAATGTTGTTCCATGTCACCTCAACTTCTTTCACATCCTATAGCACATTGATAGAGGTGCCAAGATAATTATGAGTAAACAATAAGTACTTCAGATTTGAATGAAAGCATACACTGTCTGCTTCAGATTTGGAAATTCTAACTTATATGTAAGGTGTCACAGGAAAATAAACTGGATGTCGCTAGTCCTCAACTTGAGATATTGCCAAAGAAAAGGGAAAAAATTGATAGTTTATAAGAGATCATTTCTAGGCATTGCGAAAGACTTCATCATCTTATTTATATGTTCTGAAAACAAAGTACTTTAAAAACAACTAGAAATGTGTTTTCTCAATGTTTTTTAAAACATCACTAGTGTTAGGGGAAATAAAACGTCAAAATTTCAAACCTAGATTTCTCAGGAATCGGCACCAGTGGAAAATGACTAACTTAAAATATGCATATCCCGTTTTCTAATTATTAGCATTCACAATCAGCAAATGCTTATTTACTAAGAAGATAATGTACGTTATGAATACATGATTTGTCTATGTTGTTATTTTCGCCACGTGTGACTGATTTTCCCATGGCGCCACACATATATCAAACTACTAACTCATTCATCTGACTTAACACACACAAGTAACACCTCTTGAAAAAGAACAGTTTTGTTTGAATATAAAAGCTTTAAAAGGACACCTTGTTAGACCCTAAATAAACGCCCACAACAGATAGCCCTGCAGCTAACTTTAACACACAACAATCAAAACCTTTAGCAAATCTTTAGCAAAAATGATTTGATTCAAATAATAACAACCACGCAATTTGAATCTGGTTAAATAATACAACAAGAGCCTTTACCTTTTCTATACCCATTTCCTTGGAGGCACACGTGACAATCTCTCCGATTGTGTCTCTGTAACGGTGCAGCTCCATGGCAAAGATATTGGCCAATGTGAAAGTGTCCGGGTTCATGTCAAACTTCTGCCCCGTCTTGGTCATGAGCTCCTTCCAGTGACGTTCTCTCAGGGCTTCGTGTTTGAGATCACCAAACAGCGGCAGGGAATCTCTGAACTCTTTCATCTTTTCCTCCAGACACCTAGAGACTGCCATCTGTTTGGTTTCACGGGGAAGTTTCCGCAGAGTCTTCAAAAAGCCCTCAATGCCGTCTTGCAGGATTTGAACGTTCAAATTGGCCCAGAGAGTTTCAGACCATTGTTCTCTGGCCACCTGAAGGAAGACAAAAACATTTTTTGTTCAGCAATATTATGAGTAAATATGGATGAGCTTGACAGCAGACCTTTCTTCTTTCTTATAATTCCATGATGTCGACCAGCTGTCTTTTTCCTTACATGAAAAGACATTATTGTTTTCTCGTACATCTCTTTCCTGAAAAGAAACAGTGCCATTAAGGTCTCATATTCCTCTTCTGTGCAGTTGTGCTGGCAATCTCTAAAGTTATTAATTAACAAGGAGAATATTAGTACACTATATAAATTTTCTAAAAATGTGGTAACCAGAGTCCTGTTTGTCTGAATGTATTTCTGAGTAAGGGTAATATCCTTGAACAGACTTTCATACTGTAAAAAAAAGGTAATTGTAAATGTTTTACACCCTATCAACACTGTTTAGATCATCCCTGCCTATCAGGGCCAGTCTGGACTGAAAAGGATGCAACATCCCAGTGAACAGACAAATATGGTTTCATACTGCTATCCTATTACATAGCACTATTCGAGATAAAATGTCATTGCCTACATGCTACTATAGATACAGTGGAACATCTAAGGAGATGCTGAAACAGCCACCTGTTCATGACAATCACCTATACATCCTACCATTTTCCACACACCCCTTGCTTTAAAAAAAATATCATGACATTGTTCAAGACATCCCCCTGCGTAAGACAACCTCTTTTCTCCTCCACAACGGGACACCATCTTGGACTATTTTGACTGTACTTCCTACTTTTCTCAATACCCTGCAACAACTTTCAGAAATTAAAACTACACTGACCCAAGTTCTGTCTTTGCCAGTAATATAAAACAAACAAAGCACTGGCTCCAACCTTCTGGTCTGTGTAGATCTGGTACACTTGGTCCAACCCATTCATTTCTTTCTGCACTTTCTGCAGCTCTGGGTACATGGTAATGGGCAGCTCAAACAGTTTCTCTGCATTGGTCAGCTCCTGCCTGCTGGCCTCCAAGCCATCAACCTCTTCTCTGTACAACTTCAGAAGTTCCACACCTTGGATAAAAATACAGAATCAGTTCTAGAATGACCTTTTGACACTTTATTTGGTCAATATAAAACATTTTAAGCTTTTTTTTTTTTTTCTTTTTTTAGTAGAGGGTTTTACAGCACTCGCAACTGCATAAGTTTTAAGCTTTACCTCTTTCTATACCACAAATTATCGGCGCAAAGTCTAAAGTTGTATAAGACAGACACTGATGTACTAGGCCATGGCACAGAAAAGAGTTAATAAGTTTTTTTACAGCACTTGCAACAGAGATAGGTTTACATAAGTGCCGAAGATTAGAGGTGTAACTTGAGAATAACGTACAAAGAGAAGAAGGAAATATAGGACGATAGATATTTGACAGTAAAGAAGGAGCTAACCACAACAAAAAAACACCAACCACCGATATCAATGAAGAAAACTAATCCCACTACCATCAGAAATCATAAGCCAGCAAATTGTTTTCAATACATTAAGTGGTCTTTTGAGCACAAACAGTACAAGCACAAACAAACAAACTGAATAAATTAGATTCTGAAGTATTTTTGTATTCACAGACAACAGAGAATGTTACACTTGTTCAGAAGAAATTCCTATCACATTAAGAACGGTTATGCGGTTATTTCATTTCACTCTCTCAACTTGTGCCAACACTTTCTAGTTTTAGAGAAACTACACTGATCAATAAAACCTCATATTCCTCATATTCTTCATTAACAGATCAAATTTTTAAAATCGCATTTTTCATCAAAACAATAAAAGCTGTAAAACATTATCATCCGAGCAACAGACCTCTGTCCAAGTCCTCGCCAACTGCACCAGGACCCTCCAGCAAGAAACGGTCGGAAAAGTCGGCCAGAGCTTTCTGGAAGTCTGTGATTTGGTCTTGAGTGATCTGGGCAGGACAAGGTCATAAAATATTCAATAAAAGAAGTAATTCTATATACTTATCCAACTTTCTGTATCTCGAATTAAACACAAAAATTTTTCTAACAAGCCAAAAGAATTTAGATCAGATGTTATCATCTAAAAAAATTAACAGTCTCACTCCTACAACATGTCCCCTGCAAGTCTATGGTCCAAACACAGCACACACATGTCCCACTGGTGCATCAATCATAGAAATGAACAATGTTTGTAATGTTTTGTGCTTATGAAGGTATGCAAAAAGTCCCTAGTGTATTATTCTTCCTGTACCCTCGTATTTATGGAGATACTGTGTGGTAAAACAAAGGAAACCTTATTAAAGTTAACAATATTTCCTCCACCTAATCTGATTTCCCTCATCTCCAGGAATGAATAACTCCCCGCCTTCATACCTCTGTAAACTTTTTCTTGACTTTGACAAGACTGGCATCAATGTTCTTTGACTTGAGCACAAGCTCATCCCAGATCTCTGGAAGTTTGGCTTGAAGTTCCAGATCTTTTTCATCAACCTGAATAAACAGCAGGTAGAGTCAATAAGCAACACCGATTTGTAAAACATGCAAATATTTTCTACGAAGCCAAAACAAACAAAAAAAGCCAAACCACAATAAAAAATAACTATCAGTGTCTTCATTTTATCCATCTTATATTGATATTTTTACTAAATTATTTTAGAAAGTCATCTGTTCTCAAGCAGTTAGTCCCATGACAGGCTTGTATAATTTGTTCATTTATTTTTTTTAAAACACCAGTGTTTGCATAATGTCTGATAAAGCACATAAATATATTCATCATGCGCCATAAAAGCAAACAAAATAAGCCAGAAAGAAATTCTTAAAAGTAAAGTAAAAGTGGCTGCATATAAGAATGTTTCATAAAGCACTTAAATAAATACATCATTCATCACAAAAGAAAAAAAAAGAAAAAAGCCAGAAAGAATTTATTCCTGTATAAATCCATTCAATCCTGCTGTTACTTTTAAGACTGCTCAAGAAATTGTTTTGAATAAAATAAATCCTCTATATGTTCCCTTACCGGAATCTCATACATGACTAGAGTTCTGTATCTCTCTTGGATGTCCTGGATTTTGTTCATGACATCCAGGGACATCGACTTTATGTCCGAAATAGTGGACAATACAGACTTGAGATCATCCAAGGTTGATGGGGTCTGTTCAAGGTCATCTGACTTGTCCTAAAAAGACAGTGTACAATAAACATTGTGATAAGCATTTTTTTAAATGAAGTTAACAGAAAAAAAATTACAGAAAATTGTAAGCATTCCAGGACATGATCATAAAAACCAAACCGTAACTTTGAAATGACATTTCTAAAAAAAAATCAACAAACAGACCCAGTGCAATGTATCGAGAATCGGTCACTAGTTGGTGTCCAATCACACAGAAAGCTAGTCATGCCTGCCACACTGTTACACATGGCATCTGTCACAACACCAAAAATCAGAATTATCAGTATACATTTTTACAATAAAAGTAAAGTATAAGCACCCCCCCCCCCCCCAACACACACACACACATACACATTCTCAACTGCGTAACCGAGTGCACAACATCCAGGCCCACCATGGGGTCACAGAACTGTGACAGGTATGTTTTTTTACAGGGAAATGAATAACAGCCTTTACTATACAGTCAAACCTGCTCTACTGGCCACCTGTAAAAGACAATTACCTGTACAAACAACCACCTTCCACCCCCTCTCCCCCCGCATCATTTTTCTATTATAACTACACAGTCCAAGACATCTACCTGTCTCCAACAACCACTTTTCTCCTGACAATGGATGACTGTGTTTGACAATTTCAACTGAATATTTGACAGGAACAGGAGACAGAGGGTTGTCTTCTTCTTTTTCTTCTCAATCGCATCACACTTGAAGTCTGGTATCTATCGTCTACTGGGCCGTCCTGCTCAGTTCATCTGTCAGCCTGCCTAGCTTCTCTAGTAGAGTCAATGGGGTTGGCCATATTTCCTGTCTTAGGGCACTGTGTGTCTTGCAGTGCAGAAGGATGTGTTCTAGTTTGGTCTGCCTCTCCACACTGGCATTTTGGTGATTGTACTCATTTAAAACACCTGTACATATCTTGTCTCAGTCTTGTGTGTTGTGATTTTATTTGTAAACTGCTATTATCGTGATGTGCAAAGACATGGGAGATTACTTAATTACTAATTGATTCCAGAACTGGAGCCTTCAGGGACAAATTTTATCCATAATTCTTCGCCATTCCTCAGCAAGGTTCACCTTAAGGTTTTCACACTGATGGTCTCCTCAGTAGCACCAGACACTGAAGAATTATACTTTACTGTTTTTACTTACGTCCAACAGGTTATGAAGACTTGTCAAGGACTCTTTGGCCGAGTTCTGCAACAGCTTGCCCAGGGTTTTGATCCACTCCTTGGCGTGTTCCTTCACTGAGCTTGCCAACTGGCCCATGTGTAAGCGAATGCAGTCCTGGTCTTTGGTCTCTGGCAGGCCAGAGATGTCGTCGACTGTCTTGTTGTAGTATTGCAGGCGGTCGTCAAACTCAACAGAACTTGGACCTTTCTGGAGCCACTTCTCAGCAATATCTTGCTGCAGGGGAGGAAAGCAAAGTCAAAAACTTCTGTTATAGTTCAGAAAAAAATTCAATTTTAGAAAATTATCAAATTCATTAAGAAACGTAAATCTCTGACTTTAAATTGTTGGGGGAAAAAAAACCAGAGAAGATTTTAAAATTTAAGACAAAGAAAAAAAAGAAGGGCGAGAGCAGGATGATGAAAAAAAAATAAAGAGTAACAGACAAAAAAAATTGAGAGAGGTGTTAGAGAGAGAGAGAGAGAGAGAGAGAGAGAGAGAGAGAGAGAGAGAGAGAGAGAGAGAGTGAGAGAGAGAGAGTGAGAGAGAGAGAGAGTAGTGAGAAAGAGAGAGAGAGAAAGAGAGACAGACAGACAGACAGACAGACAGACAGACAGACAGACAGACAGACAGACAGACAGACAGACAGACAGACAGACAGACACAAAGAGAGAGCAACAAAGAATAAGAAAGAGTCACAAATCTGATGAATAAGCATCTACAACACTCAACATTATTCTGGACCATAAAAACATCTTTTAGTATGTCCTACAAGCCTACATCCTTGAAAAACTTTAAATATAAATCGATATCAGTCTTCTGAACTCTGTTGATGGGGGCACTTACTTTGTCCACCTTCCACACACCCCTGTACTTCTTCCATCTGGTCAGATACCTCTGTAGGGTGGTCAGCGTGCTCTTGATGTCATTCTGGACCTTCTGCATGAGCTCAATGATGTCTGAGTTGATGGCAATGTCAGAGAAAAAGCTGAACACAAACAACTCATCCTCTCCTTCCACCTTCTGAGGTGGCGATTCAAGACAACTGCCATTCATCCACCGTACAAATGATTTGGACCTGGGTGAAATCAGTTGTGAAGTTGAAGCATTTGTTTTGCATCCTTTTCAAAATGACATAGTTATTCTTTTAACATCCTTTTTTTTTTTTCAAAATGAATTAAAAGTGATCATAGGGGTATTAAACCCATAAACTTATTGTCCTTTGTAAACATGTTATAGGTCATTTCAGAGTCAGGACCTCTTCTCCCTAGACTGTTTAGTTTGAGGGTATGTTTAAGAGCGTAAGCATGATAGTAAGTATGAGTGTAAGAAGGGTTTGAGTGGGTACTTTGTGTGTATGTGATGGTTTTGTTTTTTGTTTTAGTAGAGGTTTTACAGCGCTCGCAACTGCATAAGGTCATATGAGCGCTAGAAGATTAGAGGTGTTACAAGAGAGTAACAAACACAAAAAAGAAGGGGAGATAAGGACGATAGATGTTTATGTGATGGTTTGAACATGAATGTTAAGGCATAGATATATGTAAGGATATCTATAAAGGGATTCACCACAAAGGGCAAACTTTTAAATGCAGACAAAAGGCTGTATGTGTGTGTATATATGTGTGTGTGCACATGTGTGAGAATGCAAAAATGCTTGTATGTATATACTGATATTATTTGGGTGTATGTGTATGTATGTGTGTGTATGTGAGTGTGTGAGTAAGTGTGTGTATGCCTGTGTGTGTGTGCCTGTGTGTGTGTGCGCATGCATGTGTGTGTACCTGTGTGTGTGTGCGCATGCATGTGTGTGTACCTGTGTGTGTGTGTGTGCGTATGTGTGCGAGTGTGTGTGTGTGTGTGTGTGTGTGTGTGTGTGTGTGTGTGTGAGTGTGTATGTGAGTGTGTGAGTAAGTGTGTGTGTGTGCATATGCATGTGTGTGAGTGTGTGTGTGTGTGTGTGTGTGTGTGTGTGTGTGTGTGTGTGTGTGTGTGTGTGTGTGTGTGTGTGTGTGTGTGTGTGTGTTTGTGTGTGTGTATGCATGAAAATAAAAATGCATTTTGTTTGTTCACATTCGGATGCCCCATCTTCATTCTCTCAAATTTTTTAAAATCTCACTTCCAATCTTATACTGCCTTCACTCTACTCCAACCTAACCAAAACCAAAGCTCATCTGTAGTACTCACCCTTCCACACAATCCCTCACACACTGCAGAGTCAGTTTGTAGACCTCGTTAGCCTGCGGGTGCAGCACAACGTCCGGCGCGGCCAGCAGCGTCTCCACCTGGAACAATGGTTTGTTGGTGTGCAGCGCAGTGCTGAACTTCACCAGGTTGTTGATGATCATCTGAAAAGGAAGGTGCCGATTTGAGAGCATAATCAAGAAATAAATAAATCAACAACATCAAGAAGAAGAAGAAGAAGAAGAAGAAAAAGAAGAAGAAGAAGAGGAGGAGGAGGAGGAGGAGGAGGAGGAGGAGGAGGAGGAGGAGGAGGAGGAGGAGGAGAAGAAGAAGAAGAAGAAGAAGAAAAAGAAGAAGGATTATTTTAATAATAATGGCAATAGCAATAATAATAACAACAACAACAACAACAATAATAATAATAATAATAATAATAATAATGATAATAATAATAATAATGAACATTATCTTTAAAATTAGTATTATTATAACTATTATAATGATAATGATGATAATAATAATAATTTCCATCCAACACCAAAACATTAGACAAACCTTTGTGAGAGCTTCAAAGACCTTCCTCTCCCAGTGGGCGTAGTAGCGGGCCAGTTTGGGGGATTTCCCTGTGTTTGTGTGCACCACAAGACCCTCCATCTTGGTGAGTAGAGGCCCAATAGCCCGGTACTTTCGGGCCATTATCTCCAGGTCCTTCACTCTCTCTTGTTCAATGTGCTCAAAGTACTCCTAGAAGATCAGGGAGGAAAAATAAGCTTTTGTCGCAAAATCAATTTACAGGCTAAAACTAATGACAGGGATGTTAGCACCTACGGGACCGCAGATGAGTATACTCACGGAGCCTGACTTCTTCTCCAGGACTGCGGACGAGACTACTCGCGAGCAAAATGACCTGGATCTTAACAAAGGCCTGTCGATGTTTCTCCAAACATATATTTATGTTTTCGTTAACCAAATGATTTGTTCTGTTTAGTTATTTTGTTTCTGATTTCTTGCAATTAATACGGAAAGTGATAAAATTAGTATAGAAAAGGTATTTCACCGAACCTGAGGTGTTTGACAAAATTCATAAGAACACAGACAGTGTTGACTCGGACAATGACCTTCATAGTTTGGATCGAGAGTCTTCAAATCGAGGAGAAAGTGTTTACAGATAAATCTAGAACAAGTTATTGTTGATTGAGTAGCAATTTACTCTATAATTAGTTCCAGACCTCGTCTTTTATCCTGTTAGGAACTGACTCTGGCCAAAAGTTTCATCATCATCATTGCCTTTCTCACCCTGCACCAGGGTATAGGCCACGGACAAACACCCTCCACTTTTTTCTATCCTGGGCTAGCCTCTTGATGTTATTCCATCTGGCCAAAAGTTTACTATTACATAATTGATTACACATAAATTACTTCAAGCAAAATATTTTTAAAATAAAATTGTGTTTCAGCATAAGGGCACATATTCTTAATAGTTTGGTGAAGTTTCATGTCTATAACTTTACTAGGGACTGAGATATTCAGATTAGAGCAACACATATCTCGCACAGTCAAAAAGTGGGTGGCAGCTCTGGTCCTGAGGAACTGACGGCCAAGTGTGAGACAGGTCCCGTAGGTGTTATAAGAAAGGAAGTGGGGGATAGATAATTATTACAACAAGAAGAAATGAAATGCTGCATTGGCTGTTAGCAACAGAGAAGAGTTTTGCGTTTATTTGCAACAATGAAATAAGTATGTAAACATAACAGTATATACATATGAGCAAAGCAACAAACATGAAGTAAAAGTGGTAGTGGAAAGAAACAACATACGAAAGCTTCAAAACAATTCATAATTTGACAGTGTTATTTGTTGGGTTCCCTTCAGTTTGCTTAATTTGAGTAGGTGCTTTTTGCTTGTCTTAATTTGGTTCTTTTAATCCAAGGCCGAGAGCTACTTTTATACATTGACTTTATCAATCCTTGTTTAGATTTCTTTCTGTTTTTTACTTTTTCACAGGAGGTTTCTTTTAGAGTTGGGGAAGACGAATAGTTTCCTAAGCTTAATCAAGACTTATTCAAGGGTCAGGACCTCCATAATTAATGTCCATCTCTGACAAGACCAAGTCAAATGGGTGGAGGGTCTTAAAAACTCCACAAAACACCCAAGATCAAGAACATCCTTTTGGGGATTTGAACCAGGGCCATCCGCTTTGTAGTCTAGCATGATACCAACTGAGCTAATGGAGCATCCACCCACTTATATAATGAAACCATCAAAACTTTATCAAACATCTCATTACACACTTACTTTGCAGCCAGGCAGATGGCCAGGATACTTGGGTTTGGGACCTTTGAACATGTTGGCATGCTCAATCATGTTCAGTCGCTGGTAAATATCACGGGCGTTCTTCTGAATCTGGTTCACCAGCGACTCAAACTTGGCTATTGCCTGCAAAGCAAAGAGTGAAACAGTGTCTCGTGGGGGTAAAAAAGGGGCAGTTGGACCCGTACAAGTCTTTGCTGTTGTTATCGATCCAACAAGAGCTAGCTCTCACCCCTCTGTCCAATGCCATGCAGTGATAATAGCAGGTTTGCTGCAGTTGTTGTAATGTTTCGTAGAGTGATTTGTCAATGTTTGGCCTCAGTGGGAGGAGTGTAGTTCTGATGAACCTGACAATTGTCTACGAGAAAAGTGGTCATCTTAGACAGGTGGTCCTATAGGAAAGTGTCATTAAAATACGGAAAAAACTCGAGGTGGTAAATGGGAAGTGTTGGTTTGTACAGGGTGGGTATTTTGAAAAGCTGCTTGTTATATCAGGTTCGACTGTACATTGATATTCTAATGATTTGGTGCCAAGCAAAAGCAATACAAAAAAGGCAAAAACAAAGGGTGAATAGGAAAGAATAAAAGGTGTTCCTGGAACTACTCTCTAGCCTTCTATGATCCACCCATTTAACAGTCCTTTGGAAGATTTGTCAGAAGAAAAAATTAGGACCTTCATAAATGCTTGTCTTCAGAACCCATTTTTATTAAATCTTTATTTTAATGTAGGTGCTCAGGTCTCCTGATGGTAAAGTGTCAAACCCCTTCACCACAGACCCTGGTCAGAGAACTCTTCACACCTAGTAGTCACAATACAATCAAAATTACAAATCACAGTCTGTGGACAAACTGATTGATGAGGAGTGAAAAAACACTCCGTAAAAACCCCAAAAATGTCATTAAACAGTCTGGAACTGGCATCCAGAAGATAATACAAGAAAAAGGTCGTCCCTCATAAAGATGTCCCATTGTCTTAATCCCTAACTTAAAAAAATTTGAACTAATGTAGTGCAAGGTGGAGAAAGCTAAGGACAAAAAAACCTGAAGACATATTGTTTGTGGCCTATGCTCCTTGGAGGTGATGAAAGCTAATGAGGAAGAACAGGCCAATGATATAACAATTAACACCTCCAATTTTGTCCTGACTCAAACACAGAGAGCCTCAAATCTTGTTCTCCTTTTAAAAATATGTTTACACAAATAAAAACATCATAAAATATGATACTAATGAATAGGGAACATTTTCAGCTTCCTGGAAAGCAAGCAGTGTAAACAGTAGATTAAGTACCCAAACACTAACAAACTGAAAAGATCTTTCTCTGTCTCTAGCTTATGACCCATTTCCACTTGAGTGAAGTGAGTAAAATTAATGTAAAGTGCCTTTCTCAAGGACACAACCTCAGGGCCCCCACAGGGTTGAAACCCATGACCATTCAGTTGCAAGCTTAACAGCATAACCACTAGACAACTGATAACACTGTAGGTGTCATACAATAATAGGAAGTGAAAAATAAAGGAAAAAAAGAAAAGAACTTTTTTGTCAAAGACTTACAGATTCACATTTGGCAATGTAGTCATTGATACCCAGCGAGTTCCAGTTGAGACGTTTTGCACCTGGCCGAAGCATACGCCTCAAGTCTCTCTGATGGTCATCCAGCAGAGCAGCCTGAAACCAACAAGGTCAGATCAGAATCAAGGTACAATATAACAGTAAAAGATAATATTTCTCTTTATTCTATGATCAGAGTTGATGTCAGAAACAAGGACAATCATCTTTCATTTTACCATGAGAAATGCAACAACAGTAAACACTTACAGTATATTATGAACATTGACTTTCGCACTCACATCTCATGACAACAATGACATATGTGTCACGATGCGGTGTAGTCAGGCACTAGTCAATTTTTTAGCATGTGGAGTTATTCGAATCATCTTAAAGCTTATTTATTTGTCCATCTTTCAATGAAAAAAATACCCATCTATTTTGAATAGAAGTTGAGATATTTGCGATTAAAGGAGGGGAACCTGGTTCCATCAGTAAAATTAACGAGGAAATGGCTGCCAAAGTTTGGTGACTTCCATAGTTTGACAGTCGCCCCAAAAAAATGCAAAATAACATTTTTTGTGGCTTTGATCAATGTTTTTCAGTTAAATCGACACAGAAATGTGTCCTTAAATGAATATAAAAGGTGTTGAGCAAAAAAATATAAAAAATCTATAAAAATTGCCAAAACCAGCGGAAAATGATGGTATCTTTGATTTCAGTATTATAACAAGTGCCTGATTCACCACGATGCCTCATATATATATTGCATTCCAACTTTAATCCTAGAGCATCCAACTGAGAGCTACAGCTTCCAGTACATCTACTTACCTCTGCGTGGTCCAGAGAGGCAAGAAGGCAGTGATACCTGGTCAACATACGAGTCAGCCCATCAACGTAGTGAATGTACTTCTCTTCCTGTGCACAGAAGACAAACAAACATGTGACATAAACAGAATCAGGAGATTGCTATTCAAACTTGGAAAGGTATTTTCTAAAAGTCAACATTCTAAATGTTCCTCATTTCATCATAGTGTTATGCAAAAGTTCAAACAATTTTTTAAAATTTCACTTGACCTTTTTTATTAGAAATAAAATAACACAACTGGGGTTTATAAAGGAAAATCTTTTCTTCTTCTGTGTACAGTTTTAAGCAAGGTGTAGACCTCATTGTGAGTTCTTTTTAAATAGACTACTCGTTGCGCTAAGACTTTTGTGTATTCGTTTAGCAAAAAAACAAAAAACAATGACAACTGGAATAACAGAAAAATGAAAATAATAATAACAATAACAATAATAGTTTATCTGTCAATGTCTGAAGATAACCTATGCATCTGCAGAGGAGAATATTTCTAAGAGAGAAAGATGAAATGAGGATTAAGATGACTTGTACCTTCTGTTATGGCCAAAGAGACCAATTCCAGCAGAGAGGAGCCTGCCCCATTTTGAGTACTTATAAAAAGCTTCATTTCCACTTGTGGATGCACACATCTTTAATATAGGCCTTTCTCTTGGCTTCAACATTTCTTATTTATGAAGCCTCATAATCTTATGGGGAATTCTACCGTTAATTCAAAAACACTAAAATCTATTTAGTGAAACTCTCACCTGCAGTGCCACATTTCTGGCCAGTTCTGGCACGATGAAGCCCAGCGACTCCATGTACTTTGTTTCTGCGATGATTTCAGCCAGCTTCAGGTCAAAATCCACCGTATATTTTGAGTCTGTGTTCAACACTGGAGAAAATATCAAAATGATGTTATTCTTTTTTTAAATAATGACAAAACAAAAATTATTTTAGAAACAAAAGATGTTGGTGCTCTCTTCTCTTTAAAAAAGACCAAAACAATTAATAAACTGAAAAAAATAATATTCATATCATCAATAGCAAACAAACAAACAAACAAAAAAGTGAGAGGGGAAACAGTATGCCTTAACTTTACTATCCCAATGTCAGAGAAAGTTATAATTAGGCTATGAAGTCTTGAACATTTACTATGCTGTTTGAACTACATATAGAATAACAGTGTTAGCTTTTCACAACTGTTCACATGCACTCCAAGTAATCTTTTTGTTTGGTCAACACAAGCATCCGTTGTCCCCTATCGGCTGAAAGTTCCGGAAAACTCTCCCGTGGTGATTCAGGTGGTATAATTTTGCTTAATTCTTCGTTATATTGTGTTAGTAAATGCTGATATGTTTTGTTTTTACTTCTGCCCTTACGCGTTTATAATTAATGTATGGTTGTGAAAGTTCTTTATGTGATTGAACTGGTGTTTCTTGTTATTGTGAAATATTTCATCTTGTGTGAATAGCTCAGTGATCATGTGCTTGATGTAAAGTGTTCAGAGCTTATACTCTTCCTATCGGATCGAGCGCTATATAAATGCCTCTATTATCATTATTATTAATTATCAGAGCAACCTATCATTATTATTAATTATCAGAGCAATCTCGGACATGAAGGTACATTTCAACCCAGTATCTCAGAGTTCCCAGCAAGGTCAGTTTTCCAAACTCACTCCCACTCTATTACACTAAATTTCAGTGGTGCACTGAGTTTTAGTACAATACTTTTAGTTCTTCTGCAAAGACTCTTTAAAAGAGTGTGTATTTCCCTCTGATAATAAAAAATATTGTTATTATACTGGTCAAGAAATGGCCCCTGTTCCAATGTGAATTCAAGAATTCCATTTTAATTCAATATAAACTTTGAATGTTCTTATTGCTATGTGAATTCAGCATTTGGTACTCAACTTTAGTCATTCACTTGTATAGAAATTACTAACACCACCTACTGGAAGGAGCTCAAATTGCATTTTCAAATACAAATGTCTGACTAACATGTGCAGTGCAGGTTGTTAAAATGATCTTATAAAACAAGAGAAAGAATTAGGTTGTGCCAAACAAGAGGGTTTGACCTTAAAAAGAAAAGCATGTTTGTACATATAGAGATTATCTTTCCAAATACATCATTTTCGAAAGGATTGACTGTGACAAGAGGAATAATTATGTTAACCTACAAACAGGTATTTTACAATTGTCAAAAACTGTACTTTTCTGTAACTTTAAACAGATCTAATGTTCCTGAGCAAAAGAGAATAAAGACATTAAAATTATGTCTATCAAACTTTAAATGATGTTTCAACATCAGTGAAAAATAATAATGTTGCTTCTACACAATTGTAAAAAAAAGTGTGAACTGTAAGTGAAACGATCAAGAGATTTTATCAAGCTGGTGGTGATTGAAGAGTTATTGACCCCTTGCATGGGATTTATTGACCCCTTGCATGGGATCACACTGGGTTGCAGGCCAGTTGTTTTAAATAGTGTCATTATAATATATACATTACACAAGGTAGGAAAAGGGAAGGGGCCGTTTGTGCAGGGGATTTTCTTACACAAGTGGCCATAGGGCGAGTTTGACTGCAATATATTACACATACCTGTTTTTGTGTGAGTGTTGAAAATTTAGTCAAACAAAAAGAAATTATTTATAAGAAAACCAAGAAGCTTTTGGATTCTATGCAAACACATAAAACAATAAGGCAATTAACACATTAATAGCTATACGAGTATAAGTATGCTAATACTCAAAGATGCCACAAGTAACATTGAATTTTTCCTTTTCCCTTCCACTCATATCCACAAATCCAATGCATTCATACAGCAACAGTTCTCTGTGCCATCTCTTCTCAAAGCATCGGTTTTTCTCACTACAGCTATTTTATCCATATCATAACACTAGGGAATTTAATAGGCCTATTACTATAGTCTAAATATAAAATTATAAACGATGTGATCAAACACACAGATCTTTCCACGTACACAAAGAATAGGCCAGAACTTTTGTAAATTAGTAGAAGTATACTGAATACAAAAGTCTACTAACTTACACAAATTCCGCTCTTAATGCATTGACTTTGTTGTAGCAAATTATATCAGACTTTATCAATTTCTAACATCAATGTCCAGCAATAAATTCAAAGTACCCAAGCAGTGAATGTATGAGAAAACTTACCACTGGTGCATCTAGACTGAATTCGCAAAGTACTAGATGCCCCCTTTCACAATCATTTGCTGTTCTTAAGTTTCCATTTCAAATTCCCAAAGAGGTTAAAATGACGCACATCATCAGCCTTTCTCACTCCGTGCCAGGGTATAGGCCGCCAACAAGAGCTCATAAATGATGCTCATGAACTATAAATTCTGTTCTTTAATAAAACTAGATAGGGAGATATTGATGGGACCAGGAGAGGGAAAGAAAATTCACTAACTTGGACAATAAATAAGGAGAATAATATGTTGTACAGAGGAAAATACAAAAGGGAAACAAAAGTAAAATGATAAATGAAACTTTTGGCATACTTGATCGATGGCTAGGGACGCCTTCCATGGTACATTAATTTATTAAAAAATACAAAAGGTAGGAAAGCAACATGATTTCATCCACTTGTTTATGCAACATCTCCCATCACAACATGTGACCAGAGTTAAATCGAAATAAAATTGGTTAAGTCCGTACATTTTCTTGCATTTTAAGTAAACATATGATCTTTTTTTTTCTGAGAGGAAAACCTTCACATCTCTGGGGGATTGAAGGGGAGGGAATTCATTTTTTTTTTTCATTTGACTCTTTTCATACAAATTAAATGTAGAGAGGATCACACAAACAAATTGGAAGCACTCAACAAGAAAGCTCACTCTTGAAAATATTAAATAGCAAGGAAAAAAATTATATGACAGGTAAAAAAAGCATGTAGTTGTATAGAAGAAGTTTTCAGTGTGCCAATATAAAAGAAAAATTTCTATACAGTGTACAAATCATAGGTGCACTTTGATTCATCTATGTGTCAAGCATTTACTTCAATAACAAATAAAATGCATATTACAACACAACTTGTGAAACCAAAGAAGTGTATTCAGATATAAAGGCTTAAGTTACAGCACGGCTGATTGAGAACTTGGGTAAGGCATGGAAGTTCAAGGTTCAGATTTAAGTAAACAGTCCATAAGTTTCTCATCCTTCCATGGCCACTAGTACTTTGGAAGGACTTTCCGAATAACATATGTGATGTCTAGTAGAGCATTAAAACTTTAATGACAGAAACCAGAAACAAAGCAGTTTGAAGATTATTTTGGTGTGCACCTGCTTAAAAACCATACGCAGCTAATATGTATCTATGTTTACAGCATTCTCTTAACAGTTGAAAGGAGCAACGCAGAACTTAACAAGTCAGAAATTAAGATTAGCGTTATCGCTGCGAACCAAATAAATGAAAAGGAAATTATTGATGCTTACTTTTCTTTGACAGATGCAAGAATTAATAGGAAGCATCAATGCCATAAAAAAGAGAACAACATTTTCACAAATGTTTTCAAAAGACCACCATTTATTCTAACAAGGTAGAAAGGTGCATTTAAGTTTACCATTTTCATCACGAGATACACTCAAGATTCTTTCAGAGGGTATGTTTTGATGAGAAAATTGTGTTACATAGTTTTTCAAAGTGGTTCAAAAAGGAGGAAACTTAAATAACAGAATTTCCACAGAAAGAATGAAGTTCCAATGAAGAAGGTCATTAAGCAAGACTGTTTAGGAATGCGATTAATCAGGTATTGCAAAAGTATGCATCCCGCTCCTAATTTCTTTACTCAACAATCATAGAAACATAACAAAAACTGAAGACATTTATGGTATACAAACTTTTTGCAAAACATTTTACCAGAGCACAGTCAAAAACAGAGAAAATAGAAGTGCTGGTGAACTAGTGCGCTGGACAGAATGCTGTGTCTTGTATAAGAAATAAAAAGGAATATGAAAACAGCTATAAAAGGTATGCAGCACAACAATATGCATCTAACAGAAGCACAAATTCTGAAGAATCAATAATAATATAGAAGCCGGAAAAGTGCACAGCAAATAGACACAAACGCATGTATGAATAAAGACAGAGTGAGATAAAGCTTGCAGTAACAATGCTGGAAACAAATGTAAGGAAATAAAGCAGATGGAGGAGAAGCAAAAGTGCGCTACACTTACTCTGAAGTACCACATCAGTAGGACCACTCTTTTCCTCATTAAGATCTGAGGTCACTGTGTTGATTGCAACATCAGAGTTAAGGCATCCAGCCACTCATCTAAACATCAGGCATTTTGCCAGACCTACAACCGATACGGCACTGCCAGATGGGAGAATCTGACAAGTCCTGTATTCACTGATTATATTCTATGTCTTACGAAAGAAAATAGATCTTTTTAGAGAGAAAAGAAAACTCTTGGCTGTTTCAGATGTGTGCAGGAAAACTTGATAAATCCATAGCATAAAAAAATAGTCAGTAGTGGTATGCGAGACATTGGGGTAAAAATCAGACTGTGAATATGGAAAATCTAAAACCAAATTGTCAACTATGTTCAAACATTTCCTAACTCCAAATGTAAAGAAAATATGTGCAACATGCAAAGAAGATTCATGCACTAAGGGATCAGTGAGGCTAAAATGTTCATGCACGTGCAAACCGTCACCATCAGTTTAAAAAGGGATGTAGCAAAAAGTGAAGAGGTTTGTGAAAATTACAGGTAAGTCTGTGAGCTCAACCGTAGGGAAAAAAAGACAAGTAGGGATGTCCAGGGCTACTATAGGAGGAAAATGGTTGGAGGTGACTTAAGGTGAAACCAGAAACATACTCGTTAACTTATGAAACTTTTTAAAAATTCCAAATCACAAACATTTACTCAGGGAACATTTGTCACAAAAAACATCAGTTGTAAATGTAGTTTCAGGTGGGGGAAAGGTGAGTGTGTTAAAATACCAGGTAGATTTTTTAAAATCAAACTGTAAAGAGTTTTTGCAATTTTCAAAAAATTCACAACATTTTACTAATCCTCGAAAAACATTTAAATAAAATTATGTTTAAGTACAAAACATATCCATTATTTTTTTTTATTATTACAAAAAGCACATTCCTTTCTTGTCATTTTGTCTTTTCTAGTACTGGCATGGAAAAATTTTAATATCTGAAAACAAGTAAAAGTTTGGGAAAATGCAGACAAATAAAAACTCTCAAGACTTCAACATCTTACTCTGATCAATGACAAATCTGTGCACTTATTCTTCTGTTAATACTACCAACAGTCACAAAACATCAAATGTGTAACCAGCTACTGGAACGCTTTAAAACCTGGAAGACTGGACCAAAAAACCCACCTTGTATCTCCACCACTGATGCCCTTTGGTCTGGTTTGTCATCGAGGCCAGCCAAGGAGTTACTGGCCAGTTGTGGGGTTGTCGGAGGATGTGTCTGTACTGACCGCTTGACCAGCAGATTGCGCTTCAGGAGACCAGGGAGTGTCATTTCCACATACTCCTTCCACTGCTCGTACTTGGAATCCTCAAACGTTCTCATGTTTTTACCAACTGACAGGTACTTTGCACGAGTCTGAGGATTAAGGTTAATTTAACTTTTTACGTTCCACAACTTATCATCGTTCAGTTATATGTTGTTAAGCAAGAATACCAACCCATCTGTGATTAATAGAGACAGAGTTAAAGTGACCATTTTTTCTCCTGTGGAAAAGCCTTGAAGGGATTTGCTTTAAGTTTACTTAGGCAGAAACCCAGTCAAACAAATGCACTGAAGACTCAAAGAATACTTGCATTACACTCGTTTTACAATCTCATGAACTTTAATCAGTGTCTTAACTAGAATTTCATATGATTTGCAGGGTTCATTTGAACTAATCTGTTCTTTTTAGTGTCAGATTCCACACCATCTTTCAGACATTCAAGAAGTTCTACTACTACATAACTGTTATGTCACAGAAAAGTTGTGGCTAAAAGATGTTTTAAAAAACTAAGAAAAAGAGAAACATTCTCACGGCTTTCCCCATGTCTGATGTCATGATTTCATCCATGGACTGAAAACGGATGATAGTGTGTTTGATCCGGTGAAAGAGGGAACGCTCCCAGAAAATTGAGCCAGAGTTGAGAGGGAAATTTCTGTTCAGTGCAGGGTTGTCACGGAGCTCTATGAATATCTGGTCCATTGTGTCCACCTGTTGAAGATTTAATAACAACAATTAGAGTATTTCCATAATGTAAGTCTACTTTGAAAGAACAGAAAATAAAAGACCACTGAAGTCATAAAACCTGTTCAAAAATTTGTCATCCACAAATAAATGCTCAATGGCAATTACAACTGTTAAAATTTTTGCTTTATTTTTTTTTTATTTTGATGAAGTTAAGTGCCCAAATGAGCATAGTGAAAATCATCTCAGAATTGAAGCAATTGGCCAAGGATAACCATTCCAAGAAGGATGACAAAGTTCGGACCCAACTCCGATTTTAATTTTAGATCTGTGTTGTTTTAACCATGTTAATCATCTATGAGTTTTGTTTCAGTAAGGTTTTATGACGCTCACAGTTGCATAAGGTCATATGAGCATCAAGGGGTGGATGTCAACTGAGAAGTCCAAACGTGGAATCAGGCTTACTCTGCTCATTTGTCTACCCTCAGCAGCACAAAGTCTGCTTCGACTATCAAGGCACCCCGGAAATAGCAGTTTACAAGAGAGTGACAAACATACAAAAGAAGTAGAGGAAAAATGACGATAGTAAGGATGGGGAAAGAAAAAGCAGCAGTTCCCCCTATGTTGTTCCAGCACTGTATGAGCATGACATTGAAAAATCAGGCCATTTACAATTCTACTGTGCACAAGAACATGTTCATACCCCCCCCCCCCCTTTGGGAATGCACTAAAAACACTTGTCAGTGGCACTGCCCCGGATGAGTCTCAGACTATGAATCCGTTGTGTAGTCTGAGCATGACATTGAAAAATCAGGCCATTTACAATTCTACTGTGCACAAGAACATGTTCATACCCCCCCCCCCCCCTTTGGGAATGCACTAAAAACACATCTATGAGTACTATGAGAAACATCAAATAATATCTTATGATAAAATATACAATAAACACAACAGTAACCTGGGAAATAAACAGAAGGACAGGATGGTAAAATTGGGTGAGCAAAAAGAATAACCAGACAAAAGCATTAACTATCCAGAAATTTAAAAAATCTCATAGAAGCACTATTTAAAGCACCACGGATACCATGAGCTGTCCTGTGATTATTTTCAGACTAAAAACATAACATACAAAAGTCAGACAACACATGTCAGCAGTATGAAACTAGTAAAGTCACCAAAATGCCACTGTGGAGAAGTGGACCAAACTGAGGAACACATCTTCCAGCAGTGCAGGAAGCCCTAAGACAGGAAACGTGGCCAACCGTATTAACACTACAGGAGAAGCTATACAGGCCAACAGAAAAACTGAGCAAGATACAGGACTTAGGTGTGAATGACCGAGGAGAAGAAACAGAAGAAGAAACAACAATGACATTCGACTAGAAATGATTACTGTAAGAGAAGAAAACACAGTAACATGTAAGACCCCAAAGCATGTTCAATTTTGCTTCTTTATCTCCAGTTAGATCTCAGCAGAAAATAGATTATGTATGTAATTGCACTATATAACACAGAGAAGTTAAAACATAGTAAAATACTGCGAAAGGTGCAAGCCCCTAAAAATAGAATAATGACCATAACATGTTTTTGTAAGCCTTTATAAAAAAAAACGTTTTTCAAATTATACTCAAACTCAAAAAAATTGAAACTTTAGCATGATACAAAAAGTCAGGAAACTGAGACTGGAACAAAGTAAAAAAGTCAATCTTATCACCTATTCAAAACAACATATGCGTCACAGCACAACGAAATCATGTGTTGGTCAATTTTTGGGCATACAGAATTTTTATTTAAACTTAAACCTTGTTTATGTCTTTTGTTTCAATTTTTTAAAATCCATCTATCTTGACTAGAAATCGAGATGTTTTTCACTGAAGAAGGTGGGGGTCACCTCGTATTAGAGGTAAAATTAACGAGAAAGGTTGCTAAAGTTTGATGACTTCTAAGGCTACAATGTCCTTGAAAACTGCAAATTTACATTTTATTAGTTTGCCTTTGATTAACATTTTTCAGTAAAATCCACTCAGAAATGTGTTCTTAAATGGATATAAAACACATAGAACTCCCACCCTCCCATACCCACATTGATTTAAAAAATTCCTGGCCCACAGAAAAAGGGTGGTTTCTTCAATTTCCTTTTTAAATGATTGCCCGATTTTACCACGATACCATACATACTCAGGTTGCTGTAACTATCAACAATTTTAGTCATGATATTATGATCATTACGCTATTTTTAGGGGCTTTCACTTTTGGAGGCATTTTATTATGTTTTAACTTCTCCATGTTATATAGTGCAATTACATACATAATCTATTTTCTGCTGAGATCTAACTGGTGTAAAAGAAGCAAAAATGAACATGTTTTGGGGGTTTTTCATATGTCACCTTTAAAATAGCACTCCTCAACCTGAACCCATCGCTGCATTTTACCTTGCCTCTTTTCATGTTTTATAGATTCATGTCAGGTTTTTCACTAATTTGAAAAAAAGAAGGCATTAACCCAAAGATCCAACTCACCTCCTTTCCATATTGCACTAGAATGTCTCTGAACTTCTGCATCATCTGGTTGTTGATTGCCTCCCGTGAACGCAAGTGCTTGAAATTGAGCAACATGTCAAAGGCACCCTCTGCTGAACGCAAAGACTGGAAAGACTCATCAATGAAGGCCTTTGCTTCATTTTCAATCTCTGTAACTTCTTTGTAAAACGTGTCCATAAGACGACGCCAGTGTGAAGCTTCTTTCTGGGAGAAGGCGTCGAACGTGAGCTGATGGACAGAAATAAAAAGACGATCATTCCTGTATCACTTTCAAGCATATTTAAATATATAAATGATACAAAGGAGAGAACTGCTAATCGAATAATAGCTTGATTTGTTGTTATGCTCTTTCTGGAATACCAGTTTAAAGGAAAATCGAAATTGTCCATGACGGCCAACCATTGTCAAGGAAAATGAGGTTGACTTAGACAGATAAACGTCTTCGACAGTTTCATTATAGTAAAGAAAAAACACAAGGGAGAAAGTGATAAGTGGTCTTTTGGACAGGTCACTGTCTTGAACATTTGGGCGTTAGAGCAGGGTCAACTGTCATCTTTTTTCTTCATCTTCATTGCAACTTCAACCATTTATTTTTTCAGAGATTAATTATTTAAATTAACTGACTTGCCAGAATGAAAGCATTCTATACATAAGATATACAGCAGTAACAGAAAGTTCGCTAATACTGAGTCCGTCAGATCTCATTCAACCTCAGATTTGTATAACCTCTAACAAATGTGTCACAGCACGGTCTCTTGGTACTCTTTCAATTTTTTTTTGTAATGTAGGTGTTTTTATGCCCACATCGTCACAATTTATATCTTTTGAGAGGCGGGCTGCTTTGATCCTGCCTGTCAGGCTGAGAGGGATACAACATCCTTGCAAAAAGACTGAGATACTCAATAAAATACTCCCCACTTAAAAATCAAATTCGGGTCTCCTGTAGGTGATGGGGGAGAGTTTAATTGCTATACCACAGACCTTGTGCTACCTCACAGATGTCACGTTACACCATAGACATTGTGTGGTACATCACTGATTAGAAATGACAGTTGTCTGAGAAGTCATTATTACCTGCTCAATAGGCTCCACAAGTTTGACCACCCGCAACAGAACTTCCTCAATGCGATCAGGGTCGCCAGTGACAGCTTTCAGTTCTGGTCCAAAGATGTTGTAGAACTCTTCCAGCACCTGACAATCAGTGGAAATTTTTGTTGCAAGTTATGGAATAAAAGAACGATAATCGATAATCGTAAGGAGTGGAATAACGTCTTGTAGAAAATCAAGCACAAGGTTAAGTCATCTTGATTGTAGCTGTAAATTGTACTTAAAAAGATACATTTTTCTAGCCAATTTAGATTACCTAAAGGAGAACCAGTTCTTTATCCATACAATAGACGTGTACAGTCTAGCACAGATAAAACAACAATTACAGTTTTTACAGTACATTTATCTCATACACCGAAAGCACAACTTTTAAAATTTAAGGTTTTTTTCAGGCACCAAATTTTTTTTTTAAAGTACGTACTTGGGCAATGTCATACAAGTTCTGGCAAATGCCACTCATATAGTCTGTGCGCTCAAAAAGACGCTTGCGGTCAAACTCCCAACGTTGGTCTCTGCCTGAAGCCTCTATCTTTGCTCTGACATCCCTGTATGTGTCCTTCCAAGTGCTCAGCATCTTCTTCGCTTCCGCAGTCCTGGCTTTGATTTCTTCTGTGGGGTATCTGGTGCATGCAGTGAAAAAAAAAAAAATGAACAGCATCACGTGGGCTGTGAGGTGAATTCTAAGTCAGTAGCTTCTTTCCTATCAGACATCTATCGTCCTTATCTCCCGTTTTTCTTTTTTATGTTTGTTACTCTCTTGTAACACCTAATCTTCTGGCGCTAACATGACCTTATGCAGTTGCGAGCACGGTAAAACCTCTGCTAAAACAAACAGATCTGTCTGCAGAGATGAAGACAGCAGGCGTTAAAATTTTAATTATCAGAAGACCTTTGTCCATCTTCTCCACTTCTGATATGAGTGAGATTATCTTTTCCCTCTATGAGAGTGAAGCACTTATATGGTGTGAACCTTAAACTTGCTTCAAGGCTATAATAAAACACCTGCAGAAACTGAAATAAATGCTTTTTCAAAAAACATTAAGTGAGACATGTAAAGAACATAGAAGAGGAAGACAAATGACTAGTTGAATAGACAACGACAGATCACGAACAACACTTCAAGAAATTTTTACCAAAAATAGCATAAAGTTGAGGCAGAAAAGCATAAAGTTGAGGCAGAAAAGCATGAAGAGAGAAGGCTATGCCGACAGTATAAACATGTTCCACAGCCAATGCTATATAGGGGAAGAGTGAAAAAGAGATTTTAAACAAATTTTTGTGTTTTTTTACACTCACACCGATTTTACTTAGATCATTCAGGGCCAGCCTGGAATGTGAGGGATACAATACCTCGTCAGAAGGACCGAATACTTGATAAAATTTTCCCCACATGAAAATCAAACTTGAGTCTTCTGCGTGCAAAGGTAAAGTGCCTTATAACTGTTACACCAAAGATGTCAGAATAAAGGAGATATGAATAATGCTGATGCCAAGTATCCACCTCATTCTCCACAGGTATCTTAATGCTTACGAAAAGAGTTCTTGGATGTTGATGACTTTGGCCACCCGCTCCGCCAACTCCCAAGCGATTCTTTCCATCAGTGGTACCATGCGCTCATCTTTGTTGTAGTGTCGAGAGATGATCCACACCATCCTCAAAGCATTCATCATTGACGGGATGGTTTCTGTAACCACCTGAAAAAATTAATCATCCTTCAAATAGATGCAGTTAAGGACCAGGGAAGTAAAGGATAAAAAGACGGAAAAACTTTGTCAAGTTGTCACTTTACTCTCAAAAAAAGGTCGTTAGTATAATCTGCAACATGGCCAATGTCAAGCTGGCAGCCAAACAGGAAACCATTTATAACAAGCCTGCACAAGGCACTAAGAAGGAAATATTAGCCCAACCCTAAACAGGGAAACCCAAAGCTCTGCAGAGACGGGAGGACCCGCAGACAACAGCAGCCTTCACACTAGAGATAGGAATGTCCCTTAAGGGATGAAAGAGAAGCAGAAGAAGTTAATGTGCTCTGGAAGAGTTTTTTTATAAAGACATTTAAATATTAAGGCCAATCATCACGGAAAAGAGCAATTGTTTAATTTTGTTATCTGAAACACACAGTGACTTCTCTCTCATGTTACATGCATTGTATTTTTTTAATGCTATTGAATTTTCTAAAACAAGGACACATTTATTTTTATGGCATTTTATCTTATAAAAATAGTTTCACTTGTAGCATGTGTGATACAGATCATGATCTGAAGAAAGGCATCTTTAAAAAAACCCTTGGATTGAACAATAGCAATTACATCAATAATTCCACTTCATACCTGGAATGATGCACCATGGGCCACATTCTTGAAATGTCTTTCAAGCGTGGAAAGGAAACGCACGTTGTCCTTGGCCTCCACATAGTATTTGTTCAACTCTGTGCGAATCTCATCAAAGTCACCATCAGCGGCAATGTGAATGTCAATCATGTGTTCAACCTATGCGTAATGAGGTAAAACAAAATAAATAATGTGACAGAGTGCTCTTTCATAATTAGACAGTAAGAGAAGATAAAATTGTACCAAAAAATAAGAAATGTGTAGAGCATTTTCTTACAAGGTTGGGTTTTTAAAAAGTAGAGATTAGGACATTCTGACATAGTAGAAAAAAAGTAGCATGTATTGTTTTTTAAGAAATGAAAATGTAGTGCACCACTTTTCTCGAAAAAGTAAAGCAAGAGTATTTCACAATCTTTTCTTATGGCTAAAGTAGTCAAAATACAGTACATCACAAACTTAAAAGAGTGGACCCAACATGGTATTCTAACCCAGTGGCGATGGGTAGTGAAGGGCTCACGGGCTTGAGCCCCTACCCCGTCCCCACCTACCACCCCGAACTCTATCCCAAAGTAAATAAAAGTTTCTCCTTAATGAAATAAGCAGTTGAAACCGTTATGACCGCAATCAATGAACACAGAGTGATCAACTTGGCGGCTTGCTCTCTTATCCAATCACTGTAGTCACCGCTTACAACTATAGTAACTCAGCAGCCAATCAAATGTCTTTGGGGCTCAGCGAAGATGACCCCTTTCCCACAGCCCGTCCTTAATGAAACTCTTCTTGTAAAAAGGTAGAAGACTGGGAAAAATAACACTGTACCGAGGGCTCACGCTCTCCTAGCCCTGACAATGGGGTGAAAGTTTACGACACACTTTCCCCCACTGACACAGATACCTATGCGCTCATTGGTTCTTTGTTGGGTGCGTTCAACTTTCTCGACTATACGGCCTAATCCAGCTCATAGAAGTATTATGTTTGAAGTGCTGTGTGTGCATTGTTCGTGTTTGCGCCGCTGAGATTTAACAGTTATAAATCAGGTCGAACTACTTTTAAGGAAACTTTTTCATCACATGAAAACTAATTAGAGGAAATTTGGAGGTGAATCGGCTTCGTCCCCACCATCAACAAAAATTTAACTAAGAACAAAGAGATGGAAAGCAAAGGCAACTCTTCTCGTTTGAATGGTTCTAAAACTGCCGGGGCTCACTGTGAGTATAGAAAAATCATCAATGTTTAATTCTTATTGCTTGCTATTTGGTGGTAAAGAACTGGAAGCAACCTAAGCCCCACCCAAATTTTGGTCCACCCACCGCCACTGCTCTAACCATCTGGAGTACATTTTCATTCAAAGCAACAGAGATCGAGTACAAGGAAACATCATAAAAGCCAATGTTTGCAATGTTATTTCATTAAGTATACATGTGTATAAGAACAGTAGATTTCTTTACCTTTGGAATTCTCAGCTGTTCAACGAGTGCACTGAGAGCGGCATTTCTCTCTCTCCAAAAGTCAATTTCTGCCAAAGGACCATTACCCTGCTGTTTCTTTTGCTGTAATTGATCAAGAGCCATGCGAATCTGCCGCTGCCAGTCTAAGCATTTCTCATGAACAAAGTCCACCAAGGCCTCATCCTTCAGTGCCTCCTCAATATTATCAGGGATCTCCATTTCAGGCACATCTAAACGAACCTGACCAAACCAACGAAAATATCAAAATTTGTAATTAGTTCAAGTAAGAAAATCAAACCACCTTCTGTGTAGAAACAAAACATAGGAAGGTAATTAAAAAATCATAGATTTGTAAAAGTAAAGTGATCTTACAACCAGCACCCTCCATTTACTTCCAGACAACATAAAATCAGTAAACATAACAAGAAAACATGGAACATATTTTTAAAAAGGAAACTATACAAGTTTCAGATTCACAAATTTGCAACTTGCCTATGTTTTGTCATAAAAAGGACATGAAGAGTTCTCTATAGTGTAACATCTTAAACATCAAGCACTTTTTCAAGACAAAACTCATTTTTCAACTAAGAAAGAGAGACAGCGGTTCCAAGACATAAGCACTCACTTCGCCCTCAATTTGCTGCAAAGTCCGTGTGATTGCAGAAGAAAATTTCTGCATATTGATGAGGAATTCATCTCTGAGCAGAGCCTTTGACTTGGACTCAACAATTTCTGTTTGCTTTGGAGTTTCCATGTCTTTGCCTGAAGCCCCTGTGTCTTGACGACTTGTGGCCCTTGACTGAGCCTTGGCAACGGAGCTAGGCTCAGCACTGCCGTTGCGATGCTGGTTATAGGATAGTAACGGCATATACACCTGGAGAAAGGACAAAAGAGAAGCAGGTTGATTTCAGTTTCATTTGAGAGAACAACTCAATTAGGTACAAATAGCCTAGCTATCCACTTGTTAAAGTACAGACAAAGGAAAGAGGAAGAAAAGAAGATATGTCAGAAACAATATGACTCATACGGCCAAACCTTTCAAGCTTGTAGAATTATATCAATTGCTAGACGCAAGATCAAAACATGCCATTTTGCAATTTAGCATTTGTCAAAGTCTTTCTTGCCCCTACCATCGATATAAGGTCAGAACAGCATTTTAGATTGAGTTACTGCATCTATGTTTGCCAATAATAAACTAAAAACACTGAAATGTGAAAAACATTAATTATTGAAAAAATATATCTATATTTGTATTTGAAAAGGCAGATCATAAGATTTCAAAATTAACAATGAACAGGTGAAACTATAGTTGTAACAAAGAAAACAATACCATTGAGATGATCTGTTCCAGCATCACCAATGAGTGCCCATTGAGAACACCATATTCAAAGTAGTTGGGCAAAGTCTCCTCTGCTTCAGCCAGTGAACTGGGAAGAGGAACCATTCCAGATGTGTTTCTCAGGAAATATATACACTGTGAGTCTGCACATTCCTCAGGCAAGTGTTCATAGCACATGTACAAATATGTGCGCCACACTTTCTGAATGATGATTTTCTGAGGAGTGAAGTCAGTATAATTAAAGAGCATTCGACAGCAGAAAAAATACGAAGTCACCATTCATGTAATTAAGTTTTCTCCTTTTCAACACCAAATCTTAAAGAAAATATAGTTATGCTAGAATATCTGTAATCTTGTGTTACAAGTGTCTCAAAGCAAAAAGAGCACAATTGAATAATTTTAATATTTTCAACCGTGAATGAAAATGCTCTCATCCCAGCCTTTCATAATTTGGAGTTTGATTGAATGGTCACTTCAAACAAACAATTGTTTTCCTGAGTTTACTCCTTTTCACTCACTGTTTTTGGAGCTGAGTCAACCTCATCATCCTCTCCTCCTTCTTCCGTCTCTTCTCCACCCTCTTCCTTGGCCTCCCCATCAGCACCTTGTTCAGGTGCTGGAGTTTCTGCGGGTTGTGCTTCACCTTCATCTTGCGCCTCTGTTTTTCCCTTCTTCGAGCCTTTCTTCTTACCTGTTAGTGATTAGATACGATAAAACACTATGCAGATTGAAGTCATTGCCTTTTCAGAGGTGGTATCCCTGCCAATTTTTTCTGTACTTTGCTTGCTCTCCAGCCTCTTGCTGTCTGTAATTTACCTCTAGAGTCTTGACAAGTTATTCACACAGTCCAAACATTGTAATTGGCTGTCCTTTGGTATTCTTAATCTGGCAACCTTATCTCCTTTTCCTCATCACCCATCAAGTTCCAACCCATCCTATCCACTGTTCCTGCTCTTACGCAAGTCATTCTTGAAGGGTCAACAGCAACCAAAATTCTTCACAAGCCACGTTTGGGTTTTTTTAACTTCAATACATATGTGTCATGAAGCTGTGGAATCAAGCACTTCCAAAAATAATGAAATCAAAGAAAGTGACATTTTTCCTCCTGTTGGGCAATTTTTTTTAAAAAAATTTTTGGGGGCTGAACACCTTTTATGTCCATTTAAATAAACATTCGTGCATGGATTTTACTCTAAAATGTTACTCAAAGACACAAGAAATGTAAATTTGAAATTTTCAAAGACACTTAAGCATTGGACATCAACAAACTTTGGTGGCCATTTTCTCGCTAATTTTACCCCCAACACCAGTGCCCCCCCTTCTTCAATCGCAAACATCTCAATTTCTATTTAAGGTAGATGGGGTTTTGTTCCAAAAAAAGCGAGACAAATGAACAAGCTTTGAAATGATATCAACACCTTGGTAAGCCCAAAAATTGATGAACCCCAGATTCCACCATATTGTGATACATATGCTGGTTGTTTCATTTCCAGTTTTCAGTCAGGCACAAAACTTGCACAAGAAAATTGCTCAGTGTTCGAACTTCTCCACTTGCAGTCCCTAAACTGCTCATCAACAAAAATGCAGAGCTAAAAAGAATATAAAAATACATGTACAACAATTCGCTCAAATATCATTTTCAAGACTAATATGGGGCAGGGTTCCCAACAATCAATTTTAAAAAGTGGCACATGATGATGGGTATGTCAACACATTTCAACCCCTTCAATTTCATGGAAATTACAACTGAAAGGAAACCATAGCTTCTTATTTCACATGATGGTGGGTACTGACACTAAGAAAAGTAATGGGGGGGGGGGGATAGTGCGCACAACAGACACATTGCAGAAGACTACGAGCAGAAGTCACGAGGCTAGAAAATTTTCCCACTGAAAGAAAATTACTACAGTATGCTACTGACAAAATTACCTTTCTTTGGTGAAGAAGATTCCTCCTCAGCATCAGCCTCTGAGGTGGGTAAGGCCTGTATCTCCTCTTCTTCCGGTGCAGCTTCACCAGCCTCTCCCTCACCTTCAGGAGAATTTTCTTCTTCCTCCTCTATGTCAGGAATTTCCGGTTCTTGAAAGAAATTTATTATAAAGTTTGATATCAGCACTGGAAAATCAGGGGACTGATGTATAAAGTTAGTGAATAATCAATCCTTAAAAAATTAATGAACTGATGAATAGAACATATTGTTTAATAACTAACCTTTTATCAATCAATTAATTAAATAAGCTCTTAATTGGAGATCAAGTTAATTTTTCTTATTCTGTGCAAAAAATTCACATGAAATAAAAGACTTCTAACGTACAAACAAAGGTCAACCAATCAATTAATAAAGGAATGAAATACAAGCCAATTCACTGCAGTAATGTGAAATAAATAAAGAATTGACAGAGTACAACATTGTAACAGTTTCAATTCCCTATTTAAATACGTTACCAATTTTGGCAGAGAAGAGTACCACATTTTGAGCATTTAAAAACTTTATTTTCACTTGTGAAAGTGCACAGCATGCTGGATTTTCCTCTTGGTTTCAGCATTCTCATTCGTGAAGCCTAGTACTCGGATAGTATTTCGAGACTGTCTGAGATTAATATATTATATATTGCTGCTTTAATTTAAATTCCAACTGACGGGGTCGATCGTCAGGCCAGTATAATTTCCCAAGTTAAAAAGGGATTGACATTGAAGTCAAATAAGTCCTTTGGAAATATTTCAGGGCATCTTTGTACCACTTTTTGGTGCAACAACTTAACCATTCGCTGAATGAAATACTGAATAATAAAGTTAACCTAGGCTAGCCTAATATAAAGTTTCCATGTATGGCTGTGGTTTGCATGAGAACAGATAAATATTACAAAATACATACCACATTCTACTTCAACCTCCTCCTCTTCTTCTCTGACAATCTTATAGTACAAAATTGATGACTCTCCCTCATCTGGACTGTCATTTAGGAATTTGCCAAGTCTCCTTTCAAACTCCCCATCGTCGCGTTCAAGTAGTTCTTCAAACACGTCATGTTCTTTTATATCCAAAGCGCCATTCACTCTGTCTCGAATCCATTCTATCCTTGGATCATCCATGGTTGACAAGTACGACAGTTGATTACGATGAGTAACATATAACTTTCATTATACCTGGCTTGAGGGTTCAAAACAAAAACTTGTCTTCGATCTGCAACCTCTGCTTACGTCCAGCCAGAGAGCAAATGGCGCTGGTTTGTTTCCGAAAACCAAACACTCGTCAGGACTCGCCTGAATGCCTTTTCTGTGACAGCAGATCTAAGTGGTGCGAAAAACTACGGAAACATAAGTATAGAACGGTTGTTTGCTATTCCTGGTTGCAAATTTAGGAAAAGAAAAGATGGAGAAAAATAAATCCAAGTATTCCAAGGCGTTTTTATCAAGAATACTTATGATTATTTTTAGCTCTGTGGAAACATGGTTGCTAGGCGCGCTTGAGACATTAAATAAACATTGTTCCTTGAAGATTTCTGCATAGGAATAGTGCAGTTCGTCCGTCAGGGTGTCAAAGTCTGGCGTTGACCAATGCATCCACGAGGAGAATATTAATTTTGTTAATATAATGCGAAATAAAATAATTAGAATACCAGTCATTTCGTCTCACGGACATTTCGTCACACCAGTGCAGTCAAGACGTCACAGTCATCTCGTCACACCACAAATCCACAAGGTTGAAAGGAGACGGTCATTTCGTGGCGCACATGCGAACAGCAAACGCGCATATTGTCATGGCAATCGAAAATCATGATTTTTGAGGGATAGATAATTGGAGCTGTGTGTGGAAGGACAGGGGGGGGGGGCTGTGCGAGTCGCTGTGCCTATTTGATCAGCCACACCGTTCATAAATATGTATTGACAATATTTAAATCTATCAAGTCAGATCAACAAAGTTTTTAGGTAGGCCAATAATTATTATTGACGAATGGTGTAATTAGCAAGATCATATTATTAGTTCTGTTAAAAATAAATTAACTAATAGAAATGTACGGTACTGCAATTTTGCTAAAAACTTGACCCTTACTTTCAAACAAAGCCTTATAAACTCTTTACCAGAACAGTTAGGACGAAGATTTAATTTGCATTAATAATGTATATATATTATATAGCCTAACTTTTTAAAAAGCTTTAGGCTGATCCTCCAAAACCTTACTAGGATTATAACAATTTTGGAGAGACACTTGTAGATCTATATTATAAGCGAGGTAATTTCGTCACACATAACTGGGGTGTGACGAGATGACCGTGTGACGAAACAGGTTAAGATGACTTGGAAACTGTGGCTTTTTCAATGTTCAAAGAGATCAATTTTGGCAGAGCACATTTTTGCCGCGACTCGAACATTAATTAGCTTGATAAGTTTCACTTTTATTATTAGTGTTGTTAACTCGGGCTTCTCTTTTTGGCTCCAGCATAATTTCTTTTATTCATTAGCAAAGTCTTATTATTATGCAGCTCTCCAACTGGGTCTAACTGGCAGATGTTTGGTTCTCCCTTGTCGAAGGATTTGTGTGGCACTTTTTTCTTTTCTTTTCTTTTCTTTTTTTTTTTTACTACGTCTCTCCGAGAACAGTTCAGTCAGAATATAGGCTATTCAGTGAGTATTCTGAAATCAGGCATCTTTACGACATGGCCCGCCCTATATGAATTTATAAATAATATTTAATCATAATACAAATACATCGTACTGTTTTTACAGTGCCTAAAATTCAAAGTGCTCCAGTGGTGCCCTTATACAGAATTGAAACCAGAAATACGACAGACATTCAATAGCTACATAATGTTAGAATATAATTTGTAAAATGCCCATTAGAAACGTGAGGGAAATGCTATTATAAAAATGCTATTAAATATAAAAAAATACACTACTTGAATGAAATATTACTAGGTCAATCACTGCACATGCAGTTAGGGGGCTACACCTTAAATAAAGTTTATTGTTGTCTTGAAAAATATCCCGTTTCAATATTATATCTTCTTTTTTTAAATTGAAAGTCCTTATACTCTCGTGTGTTCTGGTAGATAAAGTATTCCATAACTTTGGAGCTGAAATAGTTGACTTGTTTGGGATTTTTAAAATATCATTTAATAAAACAAAATGTCCCTAGGCCTAAGACAGGCTACGAACTTAAAACTCTAAAGATTCTCTAGTTTTTTGGGGTTTTTTTTAAACATTTCATATAAGTTTAATAAATCGAAACTATACCCGCTTATTTAATTTTAGACCCTACCACTGGCAGTCGGTGAAACTGTTCCTTTGGATTCAGCACCCTGCATTTCGTTAATCAGCAAGTGTTACTTTTTTCTGAAATAACGCTCTACAATCCCTATAGTATAGGTCATGTCACACGTCCTGATTTTGCACGACACGCCTTCTAACTGCCCCTCCCATTATAACGATTGTGGAGAAATTGAAAATAATAAGTAAAATTCTCTTTTCTTTGTGGAACTAAAGGGATATAACACTCATTGATAAATTGATAAAGGGGGGAGGGGGG